AAAACATAAAGCTGAAATCTTTCGTCTCAAGGGAGATTTTCTGTTAAAGCTAAATGATTCTGAAGGTGCTAACCTTGCATATTCCAATGCCATCACCCTCTTCAAAAATCTGCCAAAAGGATGGATAAGCTGGGGAAATTATTGTGACATGGTATTAATCCTTCTGTTTCTTTTTCATGCCTTATTATGCTTGCAGCTTGGAACAGTGGTGACCTTGCACCTACTTTTACAGGCTTACAAAGAGACTCATGATGAAATCTGGCTTGAGTATGCAGTCAGTTGCTTTCTTCAGGGTATCAGGTTTGGTGTGTCCAACTCTCGAAGTCACTTGGCTCGTGTTTTATTTCTCCTAAGTTTTGACACTCCCAATGAGCCTGTCGGTAGGGCGTTTGATAAGTATTTGGACCAAATTCCCCATTGGGTTTGGCTTTCATGGATTCCGCAGCTGCTACTCTCCTTGCAGAGGACAGAAGCACCTCATTGCAAACTTGTCCTGCTGAAGATTGCCACAGTCTATCCACAGGTTAATATTGCCTTTTGTTATTAATGTGTGGATGGACTGTTTTAGGTCATCATTAACCTTGTTTTTAATCTCAGGCTCTTTACTACTGGCTTCGCACATATTTACTGGAGAGGCGTGATGTGGCCAATAAATCTGAACTGAGCCGAATGGCAATTGCTCAACAAAGAATGCAGCAAAATGCCTCTGGGGCTAGTGCTGGTTCTCTTGGCTTGGTGGATGGACATGCTCGGGTTCAGAGCCATGGTGGGAGTACGTTAACCTCAGAAAATCAAGTCCATCAAGGTCCTCAATCTAGTGGAGTGGGACCTCATGAAGGTGGAAATCATCCACAAGAATCTGAAAGGTCCGCAGTAAACGAAAGCAGTATTCACATGGCAAACGACCAACCTATGCACCAAGGTTCTTCAAACATAAATGATGGTAGTCAGACTGCTTTTAGGCGTAACAATGCTTTGGGTTTGGTAGCTTCTGCTGCCAGTGCATTTGATGCTGCAAAAGATATAATGGAGGCTCTTAGAAGCAAGCACACTAATCTTGCTAGCGAGCTTGAGGTGATTTTTTTTTTTTTTACATGTTTATGTCTCTGGTTACGTGCTAGAATGCAAATGTTGAATCTTATGGCGCTCGAGCTGGAGGTTGGACTTGGATTAGTATTTTAGTTTCTCAGCTAAGTCCATTCAAAGTAGAAGAGTGGCCTAGTCTGTCTGATGAAATTGCTGTTATTACTAGTTTATCGTACAATAGGTGGTGTATATTGACTGCACATTTAGAAGGCAGTGGGTTGCTTTCTGATGAAGTTTATGTCTCTGTGTATAGATTCTGCTTACAGAGATTGGTTCAAGGTTCGTTACTTTGCCAGAAGAGAGACTACTTGCTGTGGTTAATGCGCTGCTTCATCGCTGCTACAAGTATCCGACTGCCACTACCGCCGAGGTTCCCCAGTCTCTCAAGAAGGAGCTTTCTGGAGTTTGCAGGGCTTGCTTTTCAGCTGATGCTGTGAATAAGCATGTTGAATTTGTGAGAGAGTACAAGCAAGAATTTGAGCGGGACCTTGATCCAGAAAGCACGGCTACTTTCCCATCGACCCTCGCGGAATTAACTGAGCGTCTGAAACATTGGAAAAACGTTCTCCAGAGCAATGTTGAGGACAGGTTTCCAGCTGTCTTGAAATTGGAAGAAGAAAGCAGGGTCTTGCGTGATTTTCATGTTGTTGATGTTGAGGTTCCAGGGCAGTATTTCAGTGATCAGGTAAATCCAATTTGTGTCAGCTTGGCGTATACTATCTCAAACGAGAACAGCATTTAATTGTACAAGCTTGCTTACTAGAATGATCTCTTTTCATGATCCCTAATGCTTGATTGTGTCTGTCTCTTCTATTTTTAAGGTGTTGTGTCCTACGCTTTTAAAATCTGCATTGCAGGAAATTGCGCCCGATCACACTGTCAAGTTAGACAGAGTTGGAGCTGATATTCCAACTGTGCGAAGGCATGGAAGCAGTTTCCGGCGTTTGACTTTGATTGGATCCGATGGCTCACAAAGGCATTTTATTGTTCAGACATCTTTGACTCCTAATGCTAGAAGTGATGAGCGCATTCTTCAGCTTTTCCGCGTGATGAACCAGATGTTTGATAAGCATAAGGAGTCGAGAAGACGCCACATATACATTCACACGCCCATCATCATTCCTGTCTGGTCCCAGGTGAGGACACTACACTCTGGAGAACGTTGCTTGTTTGTTCTTTTCCATTCCCTTGTGCATGTCATGCAGAAAGGAAAATTTAGCATGCCCTAGTTTTTCACCTTTGTTTGCTGTTATCTCCTGGAATTTTGCGTCATCCCTGTCCTACATCTAAAACTTACTACTCAGTTTCTCTTTCTATCATGGTGATTCAGTTCTTGTCGACATAAACTACTAGAAAATATTGATTCTGACCGATTAACTGTCTGAACAGGTTCGAATGGTAGAAGATGATTTGATGTATAACACCTTTCTTGAGGTTTATGAGAACCATTGTGCAAGGAATGACAGAGAGGCTGATCTCCCTATTACCTATTTTAAAGAGCAGTTAAACCAAGCCATATCTGGCCAAGTATCTCCAGAAGCTGTTGTAGATCTGCGACTTCAAGCTTATAATGATATAATGAAAAATGTTGTAAATGACAACATCTTTTCTCAGTACATGTACAAAACTCTGCTGAATGGCAATCATATGTGGGCATTCAAAAAGCAATTTGCCGTCCAGCTGGCCCTTTCAAGTTTCATGTCCTTCATGCTACAAATTGGGGGAAGGTCTCCCAATAAGATTCTGTTCGCTAAAAACACTGGGAAAATATTTCAGACTGATTTTCATCCAGCCTACGATGCAAACGGGATGATCGAGTTCAGCGAGCCTGTGCCTTTCCGTTTGACGAGGAATATGCAGGCCTTCTTCTCCAACTTCGGTGTCGAAGGTCTCATCGTTTCGGCAATGTGCGCTGCGGCGCAGGCTGTGATATCACCTAAGGTGAGTTTTAATTGAATAGTGAATGGTGATTTATGCTTGGAGGCACCATGGTTTGACTTAGCCGTGTGACATTTTGCAGCAAAATCAGCACCTATGGCATCAATTAGCAATGTTCTTCCGCGATGAGCTGCTGTCCTGGTCTTGGAGAAGACCGCTGGGCATGCCCCTGGCATCAATTGCTGCCGGTGGTAGCATGAACCCAATTGACTTCAAACTTAAGGTCACAACCAATGTTGAGAATGTCATCAGCCGGATCAACGGGATAGCGCCACAGTCGTACTCTGAAGAGGTAACTATTTGGCCTCCAACGTAAAATAAAGAGATATGTATCTTTTGGCTGATCATCTAATTTGAGTTTGGCATCTACGACATTCCGGCAATGCCCTTGACCTGTTTCCTCCGTGCTCCACTTTCAGGATGAGAATCCAATGGATCCACCGCAATCGGTGCAGAGGGGCGTCACCGAACTGGTCGAAGCTGCGTTGACTCCGAGGAACTTGTGTATGATGGATCCAACGTGGCATCCGTGGTTTTGAGATGTAGCTAACATAATGGGGAGAAAGTAAGACTGTACATCACCATAGGGGCAGGCGATTAGGAATTTAGGCTGTAAATTATGCTGTACAGATATTAGCGTTGATAAGTATGCACATTCCTAGTAGCTGAGGTTTGGATATTAACGTTTGACAGTATTGTGAGCTCTAATATGATAATGCAAAGTCTCTGCATGGGTGAACTTTTCCTTTGCTTTTGGGATGTTTTCTGGCTCTTTTTTCTGGAAAAATGATATCATAATTTTCGTACGGTGCTCATATTAGTATCATAATTTTTCGCCGGATTATTTAATTGTCACTTTTGTGAAAAAAACGTTTAGTTTAGTGTTATTCTCGATATGGAATGCTGAAAATTTGACGTGATAATATTTAATTTATTTTTTCGAACCAAACTTTGTTGTTCAGCATGATTACCCAAATTTAAACCCTAATTTCTGAACCAACAAAAGCCAAAAACACTAGTCACATTCCTTTAGGCAATGAAATCGAATAGAGAGATAGCAATAGCAGATTTAGGAATGAATCCTAAACCCTAACCAACTTGTCTTTGAATGATTTTCAAAATCGATCGGACCGTCAACTAATTAAAGAACGCAAAAAAGCTGAATCGGGTAATCAGCAAAGCGGGAATCAACCGCGAGCTACTCAAGGATGGTGGCGAGGTAGATTGGAGCTCCGGCGCTGGTGTGCTCGGCGTACTTGCCGGCCTTGAGGAATTGAGCGATTTGGGAACTGCAGTTCGACCTTGCTGCTGCAAGACTGATCTTTCTTTGACCTCTGGAGCTTGGGCTTTTTGCCTCTTCCGGCGGCCATGGTCAACCGCGATACACATCCGAATCACGAAACTACAAACAATGGAACTCTTCATCTCTTTCGAATGGGACCCTCAAGGTTGGGCTGCGATTGTGCGACCGTGCATTTTTATCTAGGGAACAAATTTTGCGAGCCTCTTCATCTCTCTTGTAAATGAGCCTTGCAAACGCGCTGTTAATGAATTTTGCTGCCATTTCGAGTGATCGGAAAGAGAAATCCTGAACAGATCACTTGATCCTCATTGTATAAGTTGGATGAAAAGAAAATATTGGAGTTTTTTTAAAAAATGGAACCCCTGATTTCATCTCCCTGATTTTTTTTAAAAATCTTGATGACTTTTTCCCGGAATTTGTTGCCGCGAGGCAAAAAGTGATTCGGCGATGAGGCCCTAAGTGCCATATGAAGTTTTATGGCACTATGTAAATTCTTCTTTGTTCTCCTAACTCCGTTTGCGGAAAATGCTGTCCTTTTTTCTCTTTGACATTACATACAATTACAGTTTTGGGTTTCAAATCTTTAACATTATCTTGCAGGAAACTTTTGACAAGATTTGGGAACAGCGACCAAAAAGGACAGAAAACATCTTAAAACAGATTATCATTCGACTGGATTAATAGCAAAATTTCAATTGATTATTAGAAGAAACAATAGTTTCTGGACATTCTTCACACATATTCCTCACACTTTTCATCTACTTGATGAAATCACCAGTAACAGCATCCAAACCATTCTTCCCCCAAGAAAAAGAAAACCAGTAAACAGCAAAAAGGAGGGTGTGTGTGTCTGTGTCATCAATCACCACTCACATCAAATCTGCATTTCCTTCCTCAGCAAACCGCATGTGCTTTCCTCTTGGTGTAGGCAGTCCCTTCAACCGCACGACACCCGGCGAAACATTGCCCTTTCCGCCGTTTCCCTCTTCTTCTTCTCCGACGATTTCATCGTCGCTGTTGTAAACAAACCTGGTGTGGCTTCCAGCAAAGTGGAGCATCTTCTTCTCGCTGTTCACCCACATCGTGCTCATTCCTTGACACAGTTCTTCCACTAGAGATCCATCCACTTCTTCGTATTCATCTTCCTCCTCCTCCTTGACCTCTTCTTCTTCTTCGACGAATGCATCCTCCTCATCATCATCCTCACCATGGGCACTTGCATTGACCTGAATGGACCAGACAGAGGCATTGTCATCATCTGTGGTCGATGACTTCTCTTTGGATCCACTCTCTCCCTCTGGTCCTCCCAGGCAGGTGAGCGCGGATGAGCATTCGGATGAGTCAGAGAGTTCGGATTTCTCGGAGAAATCCGACAGCAGAGACCGAGTTATGATGCTCTTTTGTGACTCAAGACTCTCTTGCTCCTTTTCATCGAAGATGTCACTTATCACCTGCTGAATGCATCAATAAGGAACACAATAAGCCAAGTGTGAACTAATTTGAATAACCTTAACAGATAATATGTTATACCATCTGAAGAAGTTGTTAATCAGACCTGAGAAATTAGTTGCTCTTCACCATTGACTAATGCAGTAGAAGAAACCAAGCCATTGTTCATGCTTCCATCATCTGATAGACTCAGCACCTGCGGCGTGTTGGCCGGAGTTGGGGCAAGAAGCCCCATTGGAGAGTTAACCAAGCCTTGAAGGCGAAGCAAAGGCCTGTTCTCCATAGAAACCCTCGAAAGCACGGCCTCCTCCTCTACTTTCTGCAGTAGAATTTTAACTTGACCCCTCAACAGCGCCTCCCCGGACCCAGGAGTGCTCTTGGCTCTGTTACACCTCTTATTCGCAATCGATGAGGACGGGGTCCGCAAGCTGTTCCCAGCCGCAATCCCAATGATCGGAGAATCATTGGTTATGTCAATGAGCGCAGACCTTTCTTGCTGCTGCTGCTGCTGCTTCCCATTAGTCCTCTGCCTCAAATCAGAATCTTCCAACTTCCCTGCAAAATTTCACCGAACACCATATCATCATAACCCGTTTCAAAAGAAAACAAAACCCCACGATCCTAACCACGGCAGATATCGCAAAGTCACCCACATCACACACAAGAAACACAAACATGGGCAGAACACCCACGAACCCATTTTCCTCCCAAACAAAAGTCACGTCCCTTTCTCATAATCTCGTCCCTAGAAACGACAAACGCCATACAAGACACCATCAAGTTTCGATTTTGAAGAGACGAGCAGAGAGAGAGAGAGAGAGAGAGAGAGAGAGAGAGAGAGAGAGAGAGAGAGAACACCCACCGAACCCATTTTCCTTCCAAACAAAAGACACGTCCTTTTCTCATAATCTCGTCCCTCGGAACGACAAACGCAACATACAAGGCACCGTCAAGTTTCGATTTTGAAGAGGCGAGCAGATAGAGAGAGAACACCCACCGAACCCATTTTCCTTCCAAACAAAAGTCACGTCCTTTCCTCATAATCTCGTTCCTCGAAACGACAAACTCCATACAGGACACCATCAAGTTTCGATTTTGAAGCGGCGAGCGCAGAGAGAGAGAGAGAGAGAGAGAGAGAGAGAGAGAGAGAGAGAACGGAAGGACTCACTCGAGGTCGGAAGGTTCTTGCTGTTGCTAGCGGCGGTCTGAGACCTCGTGACTCTCCTGTTCGACGAAGGGGTCTCCATTGAAAGCCGTGCGCGAAGAATGCTCCAAGAAAGAACAAACGCGAGAGTCCTCTGTGCGTTAGAGAGAGAGAGAGAGAGAGAGAGAGAGAGAGAGAGATGTAGAGAGAGAGGATGTGAGGAGAGCGAAAGGTGGAGAGGGTCTTAAAAAAGGGAGTGCGGAACGGCGTTTTCAGAAGGTATTAGGTGACCGTTAGAGCGTATACACTCCCTCCTGTAAACAAAAAAAAAAAACTAGCCGTTGGACCTTCCACCATTTTTGAAATACGTCCCCCCCCCGTGCGGCCAATGGGATCTCGCCACGTGTCCTCCACGGCCTAAATCGGGGCAGGGGCAAAAAAGGGAAAAAGAATCACAAGGCGTCGGGGGGATTTTCGGAGGAAAAAAAAAAGCATTGAAAATGATTTTACGAAATTTTAATTAGGTTTGATATAACGAAAAATTCCAAACTGGTAAATTTATTACAATAATCCCCTTTTTTTTTCCTAGTCGATAAGAAGTTCTTGGCTACAAATACCATTTTGCATCGATAGTATACAAAATACAACTTTCGGCACCCAAAATATTTCGTCGTATTCCATCTTTTTCTTTTTCAGCCGATATTTAAGTTTTCTTTAAAAGAATGTTGACAACAATGTCGGATGATTAAAATTATCACGGTCTCTCGAGTCATGTGAAGGTTTCATTATGATAGGCGATAATGTGACTGATATAATGGCGTCGAAACGTTGTTCATATTGATGGAATCTGAGATACAACTTACTCCACGAGTATTTCGTCTTATTTCCATCCTTATCCACCTATTCTCAAAGGTTTGGTCTTCAGATCAGAGCTCAAAGTTCCCCGAGAAAGAGGAAAAATAATATGACAAATCCTTGGAATCTTCATGGACATTAAGATGAAAAAAACCATCATGGTTAGAATTTTTAGGATCCTGCTGTAATTTCAAATTTCAATATAATCCCCCGATCTGAAAAAAGAAGAAATATGAATGCAAATATTACGCGGGCCGATACATGGTTTGTAAAAGATAGATATAGAATGATTTTCTCAAGCGCATAAGCACGGTAACTTATATTACAAGCCTAATAAACTGATGTAAATTTCAATTTCACATAAACTAGATGATAAGCTTGAGAATTCTCGGAAGGGAGAAACATAACACTTCCATAGGTTTAAAGAAAATAATAATATGAAAGAGTGTCCCTTGGACACCCGTTAAGTTTTAGTACGTATGTTTTGGAAAATTTGCTATTCGAAGTACGTGACTTTCTCAGATTGTGTAATCCTTCTATTTTTCAAGAAGTCTAGGAAATTGTTACATCTACTTTGAATTAACTTAACTAGTGTTGTAGGGGCATTTGTTAACTATGACCCTTAAAAATATGAACATCTCAAGTCGATTATAATCGTAAGTAAGAACCCTAATAAACCCGAACATGATTGGCAGAGAGGAATCAGTTCTAGAAAAATTTGTCATCGTAATTCAACTTTAGTTATTATTTCGTGCGTTGATTATATGGGCCATGTAATCGACGGTCATTATGAATCCGATCCATGTGAATTTGGGGCCAGGCCAGGATTTTGCCTAGACAGGGGTCTTACACTAGCTTCTCACAGGACCTATGGAAGGCCAGCACGTGCGGAGGTGGCGTTGACCAATGGACAGCTCAGATTCACTTGACCAAGTTTAAAACGTTCTCTTTTCCTTTTTAGCTCCAGAAATCATACTTAGATCTGCGTTCGACGTCCATTGTTCAATCAATAATTTAACTTGAATCTCGAACCACATGGTGACCATTGTCGCACAATCTTTCTCTTACACGACAGATCTTACTGAAGAAAATTATCTATGTCTATGCATATTGGGCTGTTTTCTTTTGAATTTCTTGAATTTAGTAGTCGAATGAAGTATACATCAATGCATGGATTTGTTTATATTGGTGAAACAATTCATTTTCACGCCCCAAGAGACATCTTTCGTTTGTCATAGCCGAATTTATTGATGAAATTGAGGCAAAAAGACATTATAAGTGCCATAAGTTGTGTACGGAGATCACTTTGGTGCCATAACTTTTTTTCGAATCACTTTGGTGCCAACTTTTTTGAAAAACGATCACTTTAGTGCCAATGCTGACATGGCCGCTGGAAATCTGACGTGGCTCTTTTTTTATTAATTTACAATGCTGACATGGCTCACCGGAAATCTGATATGGCTCGCCGGAAATCTGACGTGGCTCTTTTTTTGGCTAGAATTTTGGCCGGAGTCACTAAAGTGATCTCTTTTCCTCCGACTTGGCATCAAAGTGATCCGAAAAAAAGTTATGGCACCAAAGTGATCTCCGTACACAACTTATGGCACTTATAGTGTCCTTTTGCCATGAAATTGACACTAAAAAATCATTACAGGAATCCCCACAAGAGAAATCGATACAATTTTGTTAGGAAACAGCAAGAAAAAACAAAACATTAGAAATTGATGAATTGATGGAAAGAATAAATTTAATTTTCAAGGGCATTTGTGAATGAGGTTGCGGGTGGTGAGGTTCGCATAGCAAGGACAGGTTTCTTGGTTCCCGGCCGTGCCGGGGGGCACGCAGTCGCACGTGGTGCAGCAGCTCCCGCACGCTCTCTTGCACAGGTTCGGCCTCGACAGCAGCTTGCACCTCGCTCCGCAAGCTGCTCCACAATCTATGGGCTGGAGTGAAGGAGTGGGTGCTCCAGTTTTATCCATCTGCAACCGAGAAGCATTTTCATTTGTTGATCATCAGTAGAAACTGTGATCTACGTAAGCGAATAATTGGTTTTTTTCGTTGTTATAATTCTGGTGCTGAACATTGAAATATCGAATCATGTATGTCTTCACGTATATAATGACAAATACTTATAATTACCATCTCCTGAGCTTCTACAACATGGAGGAGTAAAATTGAGAGCAGAATCAGCGAGGCGACGGGAGACTTCCTGAAGGCCATGGCGAGGACCGACGAGAAGAAGCTAACTAAACCGAGTAAACCACGAGTAGTTGTATCGAAACGGCTCGAGAGGAATAATATTTTGAAAAGGGTTTTGCGAAAGTAGCTGGGAGAGAAAGAGAGAGAGACAGAGCTGTAAGCAGTGATGAGTTGCAAGAAAGAGTGTGAGCTTTGAGGCAGTTTTACAGTGAAGGAAAGAAAGGATGGTGATGGTGGGAGTGGCTGGTGAAGGCACTTTTGAACGACAAAGAACGTAGTATCTGAGTTTGCATGCACTCATTGACCGTAATGAAAAGAATATTCAAATTGCGAAGCACACAGCGAAGGTTCACAATGCCAGATTGATCCAGCGCACACGAAGCTCAATTTGCCCTGGGAAATTTTTATAGACATTTTATAACATTGGAGTGATGAACTGAAGACGTGACACAGAACTTTCTCATCCTGTAAATGCAGATTGGAAAAGACGGATCTTGCATGGGGGAAAATGATTATTCCATGCTTGCGGATTGGAATGAAGACCGCCGTGCTGGAGTCAACGCCTCTTATGAGAGAAAGAAAGGTCCTCCAATTAGGACCTGGTCCTGAAAAGTCCAACTTTCTCATTGATTGGACTTTGGTCCTGAATCGACTCTGGTAAAAGGAGGAAAATTAAACTAACGATTCGAACTTTGAGGACAGCTGGAATCTTTCAAGGTGCAAAGCTGGTTGGTCAAAAGAAAGTCAAAAAAAAGAAAAGATAAAGGAAAGCAAAGTTCAGCTTGTCAACTTGGACTTTGGCTTGAGACTTCCCTTTCACAGAAGTCGGTTGGACTTCAAGAGGCGGTGGAACACCTATAAATATGGCTTAGCGAGCGCGAAGGATATGAAGATAAGTCACCAGATGCATAGGTGAGCTTCAAGAGAGAAGAGACAATGCAGGCCAAGTAGAGAGAGAGAGAGAGAGATCAACAGAATTATAGTGAGAGTGTGTCTCTATATAAGCAAGTATTGCTTTGGGTGTGGTGAGAGAAAGTAGATTTTAATAGTCGTGTGAGATAATATTTGAGTGTTGTACTACAATTTGGTATAACGAGTGTACCTCGAGTTGTCTATTACAATTCTCTCATATTACTACCACAATGCTTTCACATACCCTACATATGGTATCAGAGATGTATCTCTGAATACCCTACAATTGGTATCAGAGCAAGATTATGTACCCAACATTTGGTATCGAAGCTAGGCGGTTAGGAACTGGAGGATCAAAACCAGTGGCCGGAGACTGAGAACCTAGAGTAGATGATCGAGGATCGTGAACTCAGAGCTTGCAATGGTATTTACCAGTTCCATTCAATTGCAACTTTCAAAGTTGAATGGAGGGAATTTCAATAAATAGTGTGTCTAGATGAAGGTTTTTTTCAATTGCAAGATTTGTGGAACCTGGTAAAGAAGGGCTACACTGAAATGGCCAATGTTGAAGCATTCGATGCTTTAAGAAAGTAGGAGAAAGATTCGTCAGCAAAGTCCTGAAAGAAAGATCAGAAAGCATTGTATCCGATCTTTCAAGCTATGGAAGAAACAATATTTTAAAAAAATATCGAGTGCGTAGACTACAAAAGTAGGGTCAGATATTTTGCAAAACTCCTACAAAGGCAATGATCGTGTCAGACTAGTGCGGCTTCAAACACTTCAAGGAGATTTCGAATCTTTATGCAAGAATGACTCTGAATATATTTCGGCGTACTTTGATCGTGTACAACCATCGTTAACCAAGTGAGGGTTAATGGTGAAGAACTCCTAGATGTTCAAGTTTTAGAACAAATTTTAAGGTCTTTGATGGAAAGATTTGACCATGTTGTTGCGGCGATTGAAGAATGCCAAGATATATCAACCATGACGTTAGAGCGATCGATGGGTTCATTATGCTCGCATGAGCAAAGAATGAATAAGCAGTCCATCAGTTCGAATCTCGAGCAAGTGCTTGCAGAGTCGGGTTGTTCAATCAAATGAGGAGATTATCAAGGTGGACCAGGCAATGGAGGTGCCTGAGGTAGAGGTGGAAATTTGAATCCCGCCGGTAAGTATAAAACACGCGAGAAATCGAAGGTTAGGTGTTTTAAGTGCAACAAATTCGGACATTACAAATCCGAATGTCAATGAGAGGTGACGAAACATGCAAAAGCTTTGAGATGAGACAATACAGCCCAAGTAGAGAGAGAGAGAGAGAGAGAAGAGAGAGAGAGAGAGAGAGAGAGAGAGGGGGGGGGGGGGGGTTGGCTCTCTATGTACGAGAGATAAACAGAATTATACCGAGAGTGTCTCTGTATAAGCAAGTATTGCTTTGAGTGTGGTAAGAGAAAGTAGATTTATTTAAGTGTTACACTTGAACTGCTGTTTCGTGTGACGATTGTATCTCAAGTTGTCTATTGGTATCAGAGCAAGGTTACACACCCAACTGTTAGGAAAAATATGTATGTAAGAAATGGAATCGGAATGTAGTCGGACTTTGAGGCGTGTAATCACTATCTTTTATGATCAATTTGCCCCCCGAAGTTGCTATTGGTTACTGGCAAATTCCCTTCAGGAAACAACAAAGTCACGATGAGAATACTAGATAACAATTTCAGTAAATCTCCTAAAACTTTCTGCGAAATAATTGAGAAAATGGCTGTCTCGTTTTTCTCTTAAGGAAGACGAAAATGAAGGGAGTTCTGAATCTGTCAATTGAACAGAATTGTCTAATATATATAAGCAAATAGGACACACCTCTTGGTGTCTAACCGCCAATACGAACACACCCATTTATGTCCGAAAAATTGCAATTCGGACATGACCCTTCGTGTCTGAAAACCGCCAATCGGACACAACCGTTCATGTCCGAAAAGTTGCAATTCAGACACAACTCTTCGAGCATGATGGACATACCTTTTCGTGTCCTAAAACGAACAATTTTGTCCGAACAGTCATAAGTTTAAAAAAATTTAAAATAAATAAATAAATTGTTGATTAAGGCTTATTTTGGTCCGCGGTGTGCAAGCGTGCAAAGTGCTAAGTGTGCGTAATATGCGCGTTAAAGGATAATACCTTAACTTATAAATAGACAAAAATTTTCTTTTCTTTCGTATGTGAGACAAGGGAATAGCCTTTTTTATTTGTTTTACAAACAAACACCAACACCAACACCCCGGCCCTGTCCTGTGAAACTACGGATTTCATGGTTCCGGGGTTTGCATCGCATGTCACGAATATTTTGGGGGCCTAGTTTGTGGATTTAAGGTGACACGAGATAGCCGAAGGGCTTATATCGAATAGCAAGGATATTACTATTTACGGAAGCAGAGGGAATTTATGATCAGCTAATGAAAAACAAATGTGGAGAAACCGGTTTTGAAAGGGCCTAATTCCCAAAAAAAACTCCAAACTTTACACTTTGTTCCAATTATATCCTGAACTTTTTTTTGTCTCAAGAAAAACCTCAAACTTTTATCTGAATCCCAAATCTGCCATACCGTTATAAATCAGTCCAATTAACGTCAGAAAAAAAAAAAAAAATAGAACCAGCAGTTGCGGCGTGGCCAAGCCTTCGCGGGTGGCCGCCGCCACAGCCGCCGGGAAGGAGCGGCGGCTCCCTCGCTGGGCCTTCCCGAAGGCCGGCGAGGGTCGCCGCCTTCGGAAAGCCCGTGCGAGGGCCGCCGACCCCAGGCGAGGCCTCGTCCGTGGTGGGCGACCCTAGGCAAGGCCTCGCCTGGGTCGGCGGCCCTCGCCCGGGCGTTCCGAAGGCCGGCGACCCTCGTCGGCCCGGGCGAGTCGCCGGCGAGGGCCCGCGGCCCCTCGATCCGGGGCGAGGTGGGAACGCCCGTGGCGAGGTCGCCGACCCCGAGCGAGGCCTCGCCCGAGGTGGGGGCGACCCCGAGCGAGGCCTCGCCGGGGTCGGTGGCCTCACCTTGGCGTTCCGAAGGCCAGGCGACCCTCGCCGGCCCGGGCGAGTCGCCGGCGAGGGCTCTGCGGCCCTCGATCCGGGGCGAGGGTCGTGCCCTCCCCGTGATCGGGGCCGCAGCCCTCGCCGGCGACTCGCCCGGGCCGGCGAGGGTCGCCGGCCTTCGGGAACGCCCAGGCGAGGGCCGCCGCTCCTTCCCGGCGGCTGTGGTGGCGGCCACCGGCGAAGGCTTGGCCAAGCCGCAGCTGCTGGTTCTTTTTTTTTTTTTTTTTTTTTTTTCTGATGTTAATTGGATTGATTTATAACGGTAGGGCAGATTTGGGACTCGGATAAAAGTTTGAGGTTTTTCTTGAGACAAAAAAAAGTTCATGATATAATTAGGACAAAGTATAAAGTTTGGGGTTTTTTTGGGAATTAGGCCGTTTTGAAAGTCACTTATTTTCCTGGTTTTAGTTTAGGTTGACATGGTTTGCGCTATGGGCTAAGCGTATTTTCTTTCTTCAGGATTGAGTGTGGGAGGTGATGGTGATGAGATCTTTTTATGTCATCAGCCAAAAAGGTTTCTGGGCACGTGATCTCAATCCTATCACGCACGTCTCCCAGTCTCTTCTGATCAATGAAAATACCGATGACAGTACTTGACCCCTCCGATCGCACCAAAGGAAACAGTATAATGGCTCTCGAGTCGCAACAAGCATTCACAAACTATGCGAACCTTGAGGTGTAGAGAGTATCGAGTTCCTGCATCCATTCCGAATAGCCATTTTAGCATTTGATCATATAGCCAAGTGTGCAACCATACCCATATATGGAACGAGCCCCTTTATTCTTCATGAAACAGAAGAGAAACGTACTTTTGCAAAAGGCTTTTATCATGCTGTGGATTCCCACAGGCCAGTGAATGGAAACATTCACAGGAGGTGGGTGGACTTTTGTGAGATTAATAGTATTGTATTCACGAAATGGTGGAATCACATCAAGAAATATGCTTGGCCCTTCAGATGGAGAATCAGTCCATCCAAGATTTGCCCCTCTTTATCCTCAAGAGAATGTCCAGCTCATAAGTCAAAGCACGTGTTGGTGTTGCTTCCGGCGGCGCCGCGCAATATGCTCGTGGGAAAACAAAACCACTTGAAAGCTGTAGCATTTATGAGTACAGGCACATGCGCAAAACACTGAATAAAACCGAGAATGTGAATAAAGCTGATTTGGCAATCCCGGACTTCAGATTCGATAAGATTTTGCAATCAAGAGAAATCTCTATATATACAGACCGATCATCTGGGGCTTTGTAGCTGTGAATTGAAATTGCAAAGTCTTCAATGTCCCTCAAAGGCTTACGATGTTTCAACAGATAGGTTGGAAGATATCGGAATGCCGATGTTGGGACCTTGAAGGCCTACACCATGTTTCTGAAGAAAGACGGAACCCTCAAGCGAATTGGCGAAGTCCTCGATACCTCAAAGGCTTCCAATATTCCATCTGAACACGTTGGAATGTTGGTTGCCAATGAGGGATATTGAAGGCTTACTCAATCGAGTTAAGGATCGTATTGCATCAAGTTCGGTCCATCATGTTGATGATAGAACACAGAACAACTGAACCCTCCAGTCTCGACTATCTGGAGCTGATGACCAGGTATGTTGCTGCGAGTGCATTCTCTTTCATCATCACTACGTAGAGCCTTCTTCCCTTCAGACTCTCGAGGAGCGAGTGTCACGACGAAGCATAGGAAACACGAGATTAGCCATGTCGATGGAAAGTGGTGTCGACCTATTAAATATTGTTGATGATGATGCTGCGAAGGAGAACGAAATATTTTGTTGGTTGAGTCACAAATGGCAGCTACTGCATTATTTCCTCCATTTTTTTCTTATAAATTTTCAAGTGATGATTACTCCATATTATGTTGTCATAGATTTACTATGAAAAGAATCGTCGTAAGATCTTTCACTTTAATGCCTCGCTCGTCCCTCCCATCCCCCTCCCTCTCACTCCCTCTCTTAACCTTTCTTCGCCTCTTCCACTTCTTGAGGGGAGGGACCTCCTAGTTGCTTTTCCTTTAATTTTCTTTTGTGTTTTTTCCTTACTCTCTCTATCTAGTTTTAGATTTTGGGAGCTCTGCTCTCCCGATTTAATTCTAGATTTTGGAGTTATAATAAATAAGTGCTTCGTCTCCAGTTTCAATGGTGTTCATAGCAATTTTAGTGTCAAATATGTGCTATGTTGAACATGTTTTAATTAAAAGCTTTGGCATCTTGCACTGGGTAAAGGGCTCGCTTTCACATGTATTAGATATGAGTTTATTCAACATGTTTATGTTGTCTCCGTACGGTGATGGTGTTGTGATGGTGTTGGAGACACCAAACCTAGGCGCACACCGCTGAACAGCAAAGCCGTAACAACAGATGGAGATTCCGGTGTGTGCTTATCATTGATGATGCTGTGTGATTGGGTGATCGGTCATCGATTCTTTCGCTTGATAATAGTCACAAATCTACTGTTGAATGACGAATGTGCGATTATCTCTGTCAACTATGTTCTGAGGATATACCTTGATTTCTGGTTTTCAGTTTGTTTTAAAGCTTTATGGGCTTGTCTTGTTATTGTGACTTTTGAGATTTTCTATGAATCCTTTCATGTATCATTTCGGTAATGAATGTAAATTTCTTTTGACCAAAAGAAAAATGCCTCGCTCGTTAAAGTTAGTGATGCTACTTATTGCAAAAATTCATCCTAAAAGCTTAACTATTAAATGAATGCGTGGTTTAATAATAAAATATTTTAATTAATTTAGTCTTTTTGTCTAGTATTAAGTGTGAAAATATTTTATTGGGGGAGGCAAATAGGGGCTTGGAAAGATTTGAACTCAAGACCCCCTCCTTTGATACAATGTGTTGGGTGATCTTGGGTCTCTCTTACCCTAAAAGCTAGCTTAATCGGGTGAGGATTTTTTTCATATTTATAAACTGACCACTAAACCCTTTCACAACCGATGTAGGATAAAGCCAACAATCTCCCCCTCACACATAGGGCCTGGATCAGAGATGGCTAGCATCCACGTCAATGATTTCCGGTCAAAATTGGCCGAATAGTCTCAATTGGCAAAACGTGAAAATGTTTGGACTCCATCGTTATAATTAAAAGGTTTATGACTGAATTGGCAAAAATGCAATAGACTTAAAATTTTTTGGACAATTTTCAGACTTGGAGTATATCTTTTGCAATGATAGATGGTCACATGCTTTGTCCTGGCATGATAAACCGATCATGCATGATGTCTTTATCCCTAATGGCTCTAAACCTAACAATTACTCAAAAAAAACAGTCGAAAACCATCTCATTTTCGATTTCCTTCTCGAGGAAGACATCAGAATTTTTGCCCACGAATTCTACTTGCCTAACCCTAGCTAAATGCATTGCATTTCCCATCTATAGATGCAATCAACTCCTTGTTGAGCTTGACTAGATAGCTTTGAAATTTGCATCATTTCGATCCAACCATAGTCAGTTTGTGGCTCTGATCTGATTGGTTTGGTAATAAACTAATTCGGGCACAACCGTGTGCTGCAAATAATGAACAGTAACCTAAATGAAGGAGCTGATACATGCTTTGACCACTAGGAGAAGTCCACCTGTAAAATAGCATGATTAATTCATACAAATCAACAATTCTAGGTATATTAAGATTGATATACAAAATTAATTCCCAAACTATCGCGTTTATAGTCATGTTAAGTTTTTCAGTTGGATATAACCCACTTATCCAAATGCATATCATATCACTTTGTAAACAATTTTTTTAACCTATTTTTCGTAAACCGCTATTATTTCTTTTATACAAGTTCGGTTTATAGAATTTGGTATATCAAGCATTGTTTTCAAAGCTTATCATGATCAATTTGAATTACCTAAGTGGTACACTATCGATATGGGTCAAATAAATGAAATAAAGTATCCGATGCTGATTGAATCGACCACTTCGTTCCAATATTCGAAACGGAGATATTCGATGATGTAGGATCGTCTTATCATGTGCTTTATATCGGATTTGGTTAAATCCATTTAACGCTCTATAAATTCCATTAGTATGCAGTAATGTTATCTGTCAATGATTCTCAAAAAGAACAAAAAAGATAAATAAATAAGAGGTAGCACCCTTCTTCTTTTTTCTTTTTTGAAAATGAAAGCACCTTTTCTGTTGTGAAATGAGAGGGCACTGAGCAACGACCAGCTTCGTTTAGAACATTCCGGGGAATGACGCTGGTTATTTAAGGTGCGAATGATAACATTTCTCTTCCTCGACTCTATTTCTTGCTAGAAATAGCAAAATCTATTTTTCTTTCCTGAACAAATTTCTGAGCAAAAAGTAGTGTTTGATAACAATACAAAATTTTTATTTCTGGAATAGAAATTTGTTTGAGAATGACATAGAATTTTTGTTCCCACCTACCAGTGAGCAGCGGCGGCGGGGAGGGACGGCCGACCGGCGAGCGGCGATGGTTAGCCAGCCGGCAAGCGATGATGGATGGCATGCCGGCGAGTGGCGGCAATGGGCGGCGACGGTGAACGGCCGATGAATGGGCGATGGTAGGCGGTAAGGGTGAGTAATAAAAGAGAGTTGTTATTTTTGTTTTTGTTCTAGAAATAAAAAAGTAGAAAATTTTAACTTATTATTTCTGTTCTAAATTTATTTCTGGCCAAAATTTATCCCATAAATAAAAAAATGAAATCATTTTACTAAAGGGATTTCTATTCCAAACTTATTCCGGAGAAAAAAAAAAGAAATAAAATGATTATTATTCGCGCTCTCAGTTTTGTTTGAACGACCGTTGTTAGTTTGTTTTGTTTTGGTCTGAACGACGGTTATTCAGTTCGTTGGGTGGACTCTGAAGCTGAACACGACGCAATCTCTGTAATTTTCCCACCATCGCCATCACCCCAAAACCTGCAAGTTTTCCTTCTTTGTACATCCATCGTCGGTTCCGTATTAAGGTCGAAGCTTTTCAAGAAACTACACTTTCCCCATTTTCTTTTCCCTTTTCCCTTCACGGTGCAGCCCCCACACAGAGGCACGAGATCGGTCGCTTCTAGATGGGGGTTGTTGGCGCCTGCAGGAGCTCTCTCAATCACTAGCAATGGGTGGTAGTTGATGCTGATCATTCACTTCCCGCCACCCTATATATCCCTCTCCGTGGCTCGACTCTCGCTAGCTGTAGAGTTTTTGGCCACGAAAAGAGAAGATCCCCAGTAAGCGTTTGGTGAAGTTCCGGAGAGAAATAGGGCACCTGAGATCGGGATGGCTCCGTCGACCCTCACTATGCTGGCCGAGGAGAGGACCTTCCCGGAGAAGTTTGTGCGCGACGAGGACGAGCGTCCCACGGTGGCCTATAATCAGTTCAGCAACGATGTTCCGGTGATATCGCTTGCCGGGATTGATGAGGTCGATGGGAGGAGGGGTGAGATATGCAGGAAGATTGTGGATGCCTGTGAGGAGTGGGGGATATTCCAGGTGGTCGATCATGGGGTTGATGGGAAGATGATAGGCAAGATGAACCGCCTCGCTCGCGAATTCTTCGTCTTGCCTGCGGAGGAGAAGCTGAGGTATGATATGACTGGTGGCAAGAAGGGTGGCTTCCTCGTCTCCAGCCATCTACAGGTAGTTTTTCGAAACAATCATCCCTCTTGTCGTCTCGACTGCTCTGGCTGCTGTGTTTTTTGTCATGTTGTTCGTGGTGGTGGTCTCTTTTTGGGTCTATGTTTAGATGTTCTCTCTGTTGATATGTATTTACCTTGGCTTAAACATCAACGCAGGCGGAAAACTGATAGAGTGGCGTACAAATGAAATGAAGACACTTTTCTGGAATTGATTACAACCAAAGACTAGGTGTCCTTTGATATGTTATCAATTATTTTACGTTCCTGTTCACTATTCTTCTCATTTCTGATTCCTTAATTGAAACCACCACCCATATTTTACGTTCCTGTTCGCTATTCTTCTCTTTTCTGTTCACTGTTACTACTTACTAGGAAATATTGCTCAGCTATGTTAATGGATGAAGATTAAGTAATAGAGTCTTGACAGATGACAATTTTGTGATGAATACAGGGAGAAGCTGTCCAAGACTGGCGTGAATTAATGATATACTTCTCATACCCAGTTCAAAGCAGAGATTATTCTAGATGGCCGGACAAGCCTGAGGGATGGAGGGCCGTGATTGAAGAGTACAGTGAGAAGTTGATGGGGCTTGCTCGCGAGCTCCTGGGAGTCCTATCGGAAGCTATGGGATTGGAGAAGGGGGCATTAACAGAAGCCTGTGTTGAAATGGATCAAAAGGTTGTGATTAATTTCTATCCTAAGTGTCCACAGCCAGATCTAACTCTCGGTCTCAAGCGGCACACTGATGCAGGCATCATCACCCTACTGCTCCAGGATGAAGTGGGTGGACTCCAGGCCACCAGGGATGGTGGCAAGACGTGGATAACTGTGCAGCCCGTGGAGGGGGCCTTCGTGGTGAATCTTGGTGATTATGGACACGTGAGTTCATTTTATAAACTTTTTTGTGATTAAAATCATTGTGGAAGTGTTAGAACATGTACTTAACTAGACCTGCTTGTTTCATGAGGTCAGGCTGAATGGCTAAACTCAATCACTAAAAAGTTAGCTAAACTTGCAAATTCTTCGGACAGCAGCTTTGAACTGTTAAAGTCCTTTGACCCGAAGTTGTGAAACTCGATAAAAACTACTTTTAAGCTCTTTGATCATCGATCCTGAAGCTGCTTGGTAAAGTTTTTCTAAATTACCCTAGACAGGTCGTCGAACTTATTGGGCAGGTGTAGGTCCAAGCGTTCATAGTTGTACTTCTTTTACACTAACCAGGTTGGACCATCACACATTTGTTTAAAGCTGACTTGAGCTAGCCTATTTCAACAGCCCAATACTGATGAACAGGCCAGGCCAGCCTATGTCATAATGAATACCACTCATGGTCAATAAGTCAGTACATACGCTCCCTACTTAGTATCTCTGGTGACATTGAGCTGTTACAGTGACACGAGGGAAGAGTTTGGCTGCCTAAACCCATTTTAACACTCTTGTCATCTAGATGACATATTGAACCTAGGGCTATGGTTATGCTACAGGTAATTGCGTCTGCGCACAAGCATGCTTCACACAAGATAGCTGCTTAAGTTAACTGTCTATGCATTCTGTACTGGAAAAATCAGTATTTCACCAGATGTTCTATTGTGTGGTTTCACTTCTCACTGCATTTGCTCTTTCTGTGCAGTATCTGAGCAATGGGAGGTTCAAGAGTGCAGACCACCAAGCGGTGGTGAATTCCAACTACAGCCGGTTGTCTATAGCCACATTCCAGAACCCAGCACCCGAAGCCATCGTGTACCCACTTAAGATCCAGGAGGGAGAGAAACCTGTGCTGGAAGAGCCTGTTACTTTTACAGAGATGTACAGGTGGAAAATGAACAAGGACATTGAACTAGCCAGGCTGAAGAAGCTGGCCAAGGAGCAGCAATCGAATGATTTGGACAAAGCAAAGTTGGAATATAAGCCTATGGAGAAGCTCCTGGCTTGAGCCTACAAAGGTCCTAAACACTATGTTCGGAATATGGTTCTGTATCGTTTTTCTGGTGTGCTGAACTAGGTCGGAGACGTGCTGATTTAGTCACTCTTTGAAGCTAGATAATCATCAATGCACTACCTATGCGCTCAATGATGTGTTAGGCTGGAGTAAGAGGAAAGGAATGTGAACTACTGAAAAATGAACTTGTCATCAGTAAACTTTCATGTCACAGCATGTTTTCATCATGCTAGGACTAATATTCAACTCTGCTTTTTCTGTGTGGAAACGTGATGTTACATATTCTCACAAAATGATGGAGCCGCCCTACTTGTATATCGTAAGTATATGGATCCGCCCTGTATCGGCCATTACCCAGCTTTCGCTTCCCCAAGTCCCAACCGAAAAGATCGGCTTTAAGTTTCTGAGGCCCGAAGTTTTCTCATTCAGAGAAGTATAAATGCGGATATATAATGTTCTGGCGGTTTAATTCCGACAAATATTCCTCGAATGCGAAGTATATGTATCTACGGTTTATGTCGAATTACCAACTACTTCGACACTAAATCTGTTTTCTTTCCACTCAAATTCTCATTCCCATTACTAACTCTCATTTCCAGAAACACAGGCTACAAGATCTCAGAACGGCGTTTGGTTGTAGTGGGTCATGTGATATTCACTCTTCCACTCTAGCATGATCATAGATGTATAAGCTCTTGAAGAAAGATGCTGACCTTCTGGAGGCCTGGAGAAATTGAAACTAGACCCTGATTTAGAAGCCATAAGTCATGTGATGATCATTGATTGAAGGATCAACTCAAAGTGTAATGACTAATATAAATTGCAAAATTTTTTTTTTCTTTTGCAGAGTTATTTGTCTAATAATAATTTTCTTATTTCGCGAAATTCAAAGGGTCACTTCTAGAAACGAGGACCTCTGTAGCTTGACAACTTAACACCGTAAATTGTATGGAGAGTCCGTCTCATGTGAAAATATTTATCAAGCATTCGAAAAGTCTCGAATACCATCATCGATCAAAAGAATAATGTCTTGATTTTCATGGTCTTGGGGTTCGCATGACATGCCGCGAATTTATCGAGGGTATAGCTTTGGAGATTTAAGGAAAAGCTCGAATGTAACAAAGTAGGCAAAATAGAGGTTTGGAAAGATTTGAACTCAGGACATTCTGCTCTGATATCATGTGAGATTTTGTGGATTACTGTTAGCTATTTAAAATCTTTAAGTTAATAAATGAAGAGAAACTATATGAATATGAAGAGTATATAAATCTCGCAGTCAAGTGATGTGGCATATTTCAATATTGACGTTTGCATTTTACTAGCAGACAAGTTCACCTTTCGGCTAAGCCGAAAAGCAGCACTCCAATCCGCGTTGGATGGGAGAGGATTGCTAGCTTGATTCACACAATTAAAAGACTCAAGTTAAGACTTGTTCCATGTGGGTTCAAGCATGGATTTCAATTCTTTTCTACTCATTTCGCGTTTTCAATCTTTTCTACATCTTGAATGGTACGATTCTTCGAAGGAGAACAGAAGGTATTAAGTCACGAGATGGTCCTTTGGCAGCTACTGCATCATCTCCTCCATTTAATTTTCTTTTTCAAGTGAGTTAAATAGATCGGGCTCTCTAAATCGATGTGACCTAATCTTGCTCTAGCTTTTTCGACATTACTGAATTAACGACATATTTCGTCATTTAATTATCAAGAGGTGGACGCTATTGTAACTTTATCATTTCATTAATCGATGGATTATAGCGTTCTTAAAATGCCGAAACCTCAAGGCAGGTGGGGACCTGCCTCACAAAATGATGCGGTTGCCCAACTTTTATAGGATCGGCATATCATTAAATTACCGGTTTAGTTCCGACCAACATTCCTGGAACCCGAAGTGCCTGTACCTACGCCTAACGTTAAATTACCGACGGCTTCAACAATCAGCCTGTTTCCCAAAGTACATCAAGTTGGATGATGACATTCTCTTGGTCAAGGTACGAAACTTCTCTCGATAGGATCAAGTTGCAGCAATTGCAATAGTGAAAGCTTTGGCAAGTAGCCAGGCAAAGAAGAGACTCGCTAATCAACCCCATTTGATGCCGCCCCACTTGCCCGGTCACCATCAGGACACACTCTTCAATTATCTTATCATAAAATTTATGTTAGTAATAATACTATGTTTGAAGTACCAACTCAAAGTAATATAACTAACATAAATTTAAAAAGGAAAATCGTTTGTAGAATTTTGTGTAAAACCGTTCCTCTTATTTTGCAAAAATTGAAAGGACGATGACACAAATGATCTCTGAATTTTGGCTCAATGTGTAATGTTGTCCATGAACTTTTAATTTATTCGATGTAGTTCCTGAACTTTAGCTCAATGTGCAATGTGGTCCTTGAACTTTTCATTTTGGTCAATATAAATGTAGTCCCTAGACTATATGAAAATGTTCAATGTTGTCCTTCTATTAGTTCAGGGACAATATTAAACATTTTTCATATAATTCATGGACTAAATTTTCATATAATTCAGAGACTAAATTGAACATATACCAAAAGTATAGGGATCACATTGAACAAATAAAAAGTTCTGGGATCATATTGCATATTGAGTTAAAATTTAGGGACCATATCAAATAAATTAAAAATTTAAGGATCGCATTGTGCGTTAGGATAATATTCTGAAATCGGTTGTGTTATTTTCCCAAAAAACAAAGGGTCACTTCTTCTGACCAATAAAAAAAAAAGGGTCACTTCTAGAAACAAGGACATGTGTACTTGTTTATTTTTTTTTCGAATGAACTTGTGTACTGTTTTTTGGTCGGAAGAACCCGTGTACTTTGAAAACTATTCCCTAGACATTGTGCGGAGAAATTGCAAAAACACGTGAAGAGATGTACCGAGTGCTGTTGAAGTTTCAAACGCCTCCTTTCGTTCAAGGGAAAAGAATTCATGGGTCCAAGAGATGACGTCTTTGATTTTCTTCTTAACAAAATCACCCTATGTTTCTAATAACAAGAGTTGCTTTTCACATTTACTAAATTCATCCATCTGCCGTCGTGGACCAAACCCCCGACCCCCGCTCACTCGCAACCGCCGCCTCTCTCCATCGACCCCATAACTACGACCGGCGCTCGACCTCCACCACCACCAATCGACTGCCACAATCACATCCAGTCAGTTCGTAATTTTCTCAAAGAGTTTCGCCATGAGATCTTATTAGTAGGGATGGACGGTTCTAGATTCCGTACGGGTTTCACTTAAAACTTGAAACCTACCAATGGGAACATGTTTCTCATTTTTTGGAAGCTGGCACATACCTTACATACTTTGAAACTTGAAATCTAGCTTGTCACAGGTTTTAAGGTCTATCTAGGTTCCACCTGTATTATTAATCGAACAATTGCAGCGAATCATCACCTTGAATGACCACCACTTGCTGCTATGATTCATTGACCACAACTTATATATAGACACACGAAGAATATGAAACATTAACATGTTACAAAATGAAAGTCCAAACTAGTGGTTCCAGATTAAATACTCATTATTTAACGCGATGAAACACCGCAGGATCACGCGAAGATATAGACCAAGAAAAAACACAAAAACTTGTTTGAAGGTTTCGGGTTAGAACCTGGAATCTGCCCATCAAAATAAGTTCTCCAAATTTTTGAAACTTGGAATTTACCATTGCATATCTTGTAACCTAGAACCTGCAGGTTCTCACCGGTCAGGTTTTCAGGTTCCTGGAACCATGCTCACCCCTACTCACCAGCTCTCCTGGCTGCCGTTGCTGACTAAAACCCTCTACCCACGAATACCGAGTAACGTTCTCGAAAAGGATTTTCTCATCGAAATTTCGGTTGAGCACAGCGCAAAATTTCTTGTCCCACTTGCAAATTCCTTGTTTTCCATTAGATATGGTCCAATGTTGAAAGTGAAAGAACCGGACTAAAGCCCTCAAACTCGGAGAGCTGATCGATCGAGAAATCTTCAATTTGTACAGGCTTGTCTAAAGGACGGAACACCATCGCAAATTCTCAACCGCTCCGCACGACTGAATTTCATGTCATCCCAATCCGATAGAGGCTTTTGAACAAGTCCCAGGTCAAAGAGAAGACCACGTCAACTGTCGAGAAAGTTTGATGTCGACGACTGCTAACACGACTTGACGAATTAAATGGCAAGAATCGACCCAAAGTCTTGTCCAATATGAAAGTGTCCAATGGGGTGGAACATTCACACGTAGCAAAATCAATAGATTTTTTTTTTCTATAATTATTAATTGACGGTGGCTCGGCACGTTTCCTAATTTCTCCCTCGATACCCGTTATCTAATTAGTCATTAATTTATTGTACGGATGCTAATTTAGTTTCAAATTTTTTCGATTATGTCAATATCTACGAAATTTCAATACAATCATTCCGGTGAATTTTCGCCGGAAATTCCCGACGCGACGGAAATGAAATTGTTGTTGATTTTTGTACGGACTAGGATAATGGAATGGTAACAATCCAGTAGATCTACCAAAGATGAGTGTGTGTGTGTGTGTGTGTAACGTGTGAAAGCAGAGAAATGAAACCCACCGACTACATGAACTGTGAATGTATCATGCCGATGATGATGATGATGATGATGATGATCTTGAGCTTTGCTGCACGACCGAGTCAAAGATTCATTAAGGGATTGAAAATCTTTGATTGAACCGGCAAATTGGGTATTCATGTGTAAACTAGAATAGAAGGATCAGGGGCACTTGTGATTATGCTTCAACCTAAGCTAAAAAGGCGCACTTTCCACTTCCGCCCCGTCACTCCATGCGTCGAAATTGGGTATTGCGAAAGTTTCGGGTATTACGAGTCGAGGAGAAAGTCAAAGCGCGTTCGTTATAAGATTTGGATTAAGTAAAATGTAAAAGTGACAGGTTATGCGGATACACCCTGATTAAAAAAATAGAAAAAGATATTTCGGTCTCATGAATAAAAATAACATATAAAATCCGTTATCACGGCATGTGGAATTTGAATAATGGGGGTGGATGCACATTTGCCAAAGGAGTAACACTGACTCCAATACTATGTTAGAAAGTCAAACTGATAAATGGAGGGAGACCACATAAATATAAAGAGTATATAAGACTCGGGTAAATTGTCAAGCGATGTAGGATACTACTTCAACAAAAATGATGTACTTGCCTTATCAGAAAAAGAAAAATGTACTTGCTGGCCAGTCACTACAAGAAAGAGAAGAGAATGAAAGAGAATGAAAAAAAAAGAAAAAATTTCAAAAAAATTGCAAAACAAAATGTTCGCGTTGGCACCGGCCGTGACACGTAGGACCACCCGTATCCACGTCAGCAATTTCTGATTTAAATTGGCTGGATAGACTCAATTGCCACAAAAAAAAAAGAATTTTAGAATTAAATTGGCACAATCTAAAAAGTTTTATACTTGAATTGGCAATGACACAGATGTAATAGGTTCATGACTTGTTTTTTGGTAATTTTCTCGAGATTTACACGTATTTCTTAGATAAACCCGTGGACGACCTAATCATCAATATCCCATTGGCTGCAAATTCATCCGTATCCCCATCACGACATCTCCGATCATCACGTGAAAATCGAGGAAAGCTTCATCGTTTCCTCAGGAAAAAAAACAGAGAGTAAATTTGGCAGTATTTCCATGAAATGACCATTATTAAGATGAATATCGAATACGCCGCTTCGAGAAATATCTGAAAGGCTTTTGAACTCTTGCAGTTGCCGGAGCTACAAAACAGACAAAACGAGGGAAAAAATATCTCATTAATTAAAAGGATGGATATTTTTCCTGCGCAAGGTCTTTTGCAATTTACAAAAGAAAAAAAAAAAGAAAAGAGAAAAAACAAACATATTGTCCCTCCCATTTATAGAAATAAAATAATAATAAAAAGAGGGGATTTTCTTCCACTTTTCCCCATGTAGATCATCAAAATTGGGGAGAAGGTCGGAGATCCCACATGCATTCCATTTTCCACACACGCCTTCCTCATGAATCATGGACACAAAATCACAAAAATAAATAAATGAATAAGTAAATAAGTAAGGCCATTAAAAAAAAAAATAAAGGGAAAAAAAAAGAAGAGAAAATATATCAAATTTGACCTTCTCCTTCTCCCTCCTCCTCCATCTCCATCTCCCATCTCCTTCCTCCTCCCCTCCTTCTGTTTGACCACCACCTCCCTCCCCTTCCTTCCTTCCTTCTTCCTCTCCTCTGCTACCAACTTTACCTCCCTGCAATTTGCTTCGTTTGCACATATATATATATATATATATATATATATATATATGTATATGTATATTATATTGTTCGGAATCCGCCATTGCTCTTGATCCGTCGAAGCTTTCCAAGGGATATCGAAAGCAACACGAGCATGGGAATCTGCGTCTCCACCACCAAGGCCGGCGGCTCCGGCGGCGGCGGGGGGGCGCCGGAGGAGGCCGCGGCTCGGCAGGGATCGGCGCGCCGGCGGGGGCGGGATCGGGAGGGGGCGAATCGGGAGCCGAAGGACGATCGGCAGCCGGCGAAGGGCTACAGGAGGAAGCCGGGCGGCGGGGCGGTGCCCTGCGGGAAGCGCACGGACTTCGGGTACGCCAAGGACTTCGAGGAGCGGTACGCGCTGGGGAAGCTGCTCGGGCACGGGCAGTTCGGTTACACGTACGTCGCGGTCGACAAGGCCAATGGCGATCGAGTCGCGGTTAAGCGGATTCAGAAGAGCAAGGTGATTGTTCTTCGGTTTTTCCTTTTTTTTTTTGTTTCCCCGCTTCGAGTTTGAGGATTCGGTTCTCGCGTGTTTGTTGGGCGAGTTGTGAGGATTTTAGTGGCTTTTTAGGGCCTGTTTTAGATAATGCTGCTGGATTTTCTGAGGTAGGGTTGCGTGATTGTGGCGAAAATTGATGTTTCTGTGTGATTGGGACATCTCTCGTGAATCTCGCGGAGGATGTTTTCGATTAATTGTAGTGGCCGTAATGCGCCTCACGAACTTTTCTGTGAATGATCTTAGTTAATTGGTGTCTTTGACGAGTTACTAAATATGAATGCAGGGTTTTTGGGTTAGGATTGAGTCGCGAAACTCTATGTTGACATTCTGATTCTATAAGAATAATACTTCAGTTCCCGTAACTCTGATGCTATTACTTCGAAGATTCCCTTTCCCAATGGCTTTCCAGTTTCTTTGATCTTTACATGGACAACTCTTAGTGGATATAAAGCGAGAGGATCATGCTGTCATACGATTGTTGTGCTTAAATGATTCATCTTTCCCAGTTGCATGTTATAGACTAGTGTTCAAGAGTCGGTCAAGTGTTGGCTGCGGTTTGCAGTTTTTAATGCTTGAGATTGGGATGTGCTAGTGAGTTTGTACGACTGAAGGAATTGCCCCGCATTAGAAATGATTCGACCGTTTCAATGGTCGGTACACTTGGGGCTATGCCTAGCAGTAGTCAGGACCTCATTCATGCACATTGTTGTACTTCGTTACCCGAAGCTGTCCGAACGGTATTACAGTTCCTTTGGTTTGTGCTTCCAGAATGGAGTTTGAAAGAAAATTAAAGTTTCGAGCTCCCTTATAATTCCCCGCTAAGTGTCATGCTTTTGAGTGCTTTTATATTCATCGTGGATGAATTTCATTTAGTTTATTTCATCAAAAGGAATATCCTCAATTTGCTGCAGTTTGCACAAGGTGTTCCTTTTTGGGGATTTGGCAAGTTCATGTGTCTTCTTTTCTAATTAACCTTCTATTTCAGCGAATAAGCTTGTTTGTTCCTTGTCTCACAAGATCCTAGGAAAGTAAACTATGTGAATGCATACTTCCTAGATGAGTTTCCCTCTTCCTATCATGTACTTATTGCAATATCTCAAATCAGATCATTGGATAATGGTGACAGATGGTTCTTCCCATCGCGGTTGAAGATGTCAAACGGGAGGTCAAGATTTTGAGAGCCTTAACAGGCCATGAGAATGTCGTTCAGTTCTATGACGCATTTGAGGACGACTCTTATGTTTACATAGCCATGGAGTAAGTTCTGTTCCTTGAACTTTTCCTACATCAAGCTTGGATAATTTTATCTAGAATATGCTTTCATTCATTTTTTCTAACTATAGCTGGCTTTTAGTTTCATCTTCATTTGTGAATAGTTTTTATTTTAATTCCTCATCAATTCATATGGCGTTTGTCTTCTTGAAATATCACTTTCAGATACTGTGAAGGCGGTGAGTTGCTGGACAGGATACTAGCCAAGTAAGGAACTTTAACGTTTGTCTCTACAGCTTATTTTCAAGTGTAACTAGTTTTCACTTTGACACGTCTTCATGGTCTCCCGTGATCAGGAAGGATAGCCGCTACACTGAGAAAGATGCAGCCGTTGTTGTGAGGCAGATGCTCAAGGTAGCAGCAGAGTGTCATTTGCATGGCTTGGTGCACCGTGACATGAAGCCAGAGGTATACTCAGTCCCTTTTTTTTTATAATGAATGTCAAGTAATGGCATTCGAAATTTTCTGAAATATGTATTTTGTTGTAGAATTTTCTCTTTAAATCAACCAAAGAGGATTCTCCCCTGAAGGCTACAGATTTTGGCTTGTCAGACTTCATAAAACCTGGTGAGTGAAATCATCCAGCCCAAGTTTACCCCGAGATGTCTTTTTACCATTCCTAGAGTGCCAAAAGATTAATATGAACCTGTGTAGTACTTAATATTTTTTTGTCTCGGAGTGATAATTGGAACATTTTAGGTCTCCGGGGACTTTTTTTTCTTTAATTAGTTAATTGCTTAAATAACTCATTAATTTTGATCCAAATGTATTTAGGGAAAAGGTTTCCAGATATCGTTGGCAGTGCCTACTATGTCGCTCCTGAAGTTTTGAAACGCAAGTCAGGCCCAGAGTCAGATGTATGGAGTATTGGTGTTATTACCTATATTCTACTTTGCGGGAGGCGTCCTTTCTGGGATAAAACTGAAGATGGCATTTTCAAGGAGGTGCCTTATCTGACACTCCTTTTTTCCTCCTTTTTTTCCTTGTTTGAGGTGCTGCCGTTTTATTGCCATGTCAATGTGGTAAAAATGGCTGTTTCTCATGCAGTGTCTTTATCATAATCTGCCCCAATTCTAGACATGGTGTAGAAAAGTTTTTGTATAAGATGGAATTTTCATTTCCAACTCTCGTCTTTTCCTTTGCTGGTATAGTTTCTATAATAGTTTTCTCATCCTTTGTTGAAGCTGATGGCTGTGCCTGCCATAAGATATCTGATCATTATTGGATTCCTTCTCTAAATATTGTCTTTCAGCAAACTTTTCCATTTTCCTGTGGCCACTTCTTAATGACATATTGCTTGTGATGCAGGTTCTAAAGAAGAAACCTGATTTTCATCGCAAACCATGGCCAACAATAAGCAACAGTGCTAAAGATTTTGTGAAGAAGCTACTAGTGAAAGATCCCAGGGCAAGACTTACTGCTGCTCAAGCCCTCTGTAAGTTTTCAGTTGGTATCTGATATGAAAGCTGATTGATATGCCATGAGGGACTTCTAATGAAAAGTATAGGTCTTGAATTATTGTGACGTGGAAATACTTTTCTTGGCATTGCTCTAGCTATGCCAGATTCTAGCCAAGAGAATGAGGGAATTATTAGATTAATTGTTATTCATGGTTTTCATTTTCTTTGGAACTAAGTATTTTCTGTTTCCTCTTAGCATTGATTTTTATTCATTAATGCAACTTTCAGCGCATCGATGGGTCAGAGAAGGAGGAAGTGCATCAGATATCCCTATTGATATATCTGTTTTGAACAATATGAGGCAATTTGTGAAGTACGGTCGACTGAAACAATTTGCTTTACGGGTAACGAAAATGCTCTGTAAGATTTCTTTAAGGAGGAAAGGATATTACATCATGTCGTTGTCTAACACTTATTCCTTGCAGGCACTGGCAAGCACCCTTGATGAAGAGGAACTTGCTGACCTCAAGGATCAATTTGCTGCAATTGATGTAGATAAAAATGGTTCTATTAGTCTTGAAGAAATGAGAGAGGTATCTATTTCCTTCTCATTCCACATTCACTCTGATGAATATTTTAATTACATCATGATCATGAGTGTCGTATGCATGCAGGCCCTTGCTCAGGATCTTCCCTGGAAGATGAAGGATTCACGTGTCTTAGAGATTCTTCAAGCGGTAACTTTAATCTTTACCTTTGTTATGTCCTTGTTTTCTCCTTGTATATTAGCAATTCAAATTTGGTTTTCTGGTGGATTTGTGAAATAGCATTTTTGTCAGTTTCACTTTGTTCTTTCATTGTTTTGGTGAGTCTCTTTTGTTCATCTTTGATGCTTAAAGCTATCATTAGTTCTTGCTCCATGTTTGGTCATTTTGAAAACTTGCTTTTGTGTTGTTAGCCGCGCAATGTTGAACTGATTTTTTCATTCATATGGATGAGCTGCTGCCAAGTTTGCAGATTTAGCGTAAACATGTGAGTCCTGAATGGTGCATAAGAATCTCTTTTATTTTTCCTTCATGTAGATCGATAGCAACACAGATGGGCTAGTGGATTTTACTGAGTTTGTTGCAGCAACTCTTCATGTGCATCAAATGGAGGAACATGATTCGGAGAAGTGGCAGCTGAGGTCACAGGCCGCTTTTGAGAAATTTGACATTGATCGAGATGGTTATATAACCCCAGAAGAACTTAGACTGGTAAGTTTGACTATCTTCATTTATTCATCCCTTCCCTGTTCATAAGCCCTCTAGTTCTCATTTGTGTCACTATGGGTATGGGTAGAATGAAAATTGAAGTACTTAGACCGTGCCAAATGTATTTGTTTTGATTTCTAACTGAATTTAAATCCTGTCTCCCGGAAGCTTGAGGTTTGTTTCTTGCAAAATTACCCAAAAGTTGGGATAAGTTGGTTATTGTGTTATCTGACAATAGCAGCCCAATAAGTCGCCTGTCTTTTTGCGTATTTGGCACAAAATAGTAGCATAGCTACTTCCTGTTGCAACTTGACATAAAGAAACTGTTCAGCTTGTCCGCATGTGACCTGGATAATTTGGTTATTGTCTCGTCTGATAATACTAGCCGATATTATTGCCTCTTGTTGTATATTTGGTACAAAGTAGTGGCACTGGTTTTTTTTATTTTACTTGGTACAAAGAAATGGTTCAGCATGTTAACGTGTAACCTTGATATGATGCTCACATGCCCTTTTCAGCAGACAGGTTTGAAAGGCTCCCTCGATCCTCTACTAGAAGAAGCCGACATCGACAAAGATGGGAAAATAAGTTTGTCGGAGTTCAGAAGGCTGTTAAGAACTGCAAGCATGGGCTCTCGAAACTTGCCGAGCCCATCTGGTTATCGGACTTCAAGGAAGCTATAGATCCATTCTGGAGCTTTTGGGTTTTAAAAAGAGAAAAAAGGGGAGCACGAGATGTGTTATGCATATTGGTTACTCTAGATATAACGAACCAATCCTGATGATCGCCTCCGTGCTTCGCTCCATTGCCAGTGGAAAGCCCTGTACAAAAGTTAGATACTGAGTCGAGGGATTTCGCACGGCACCCCGAGTTAGCCAAGAAGTGTCTGGAGATGAAGGTTTGGAGAGATTGCTGGCTGTGGTCGATAACTCGGTAAGAGGGAAGGGCTATCCGGGTGTAAGTCTTGTAACGAGTGTGGGATGTGTAGGCTGTGACTGTATATTAGACGCCCTCGAAGCAGAGGGCCTATTCATTTACAGAATGCGTTTCGACCGAAAAAAAAAAAATTACAGAATGTGCAATGCTTTTTACTCGTATGGCTTTCTCTTTTTACCCAATTTTTTCGCATCGCAAATAACGGCAGTGTGAACATTTTCAGTCTCTCTCAGAGATGGGCAAATGCACCTGCTTTTTACGTGAAGGATTTAGGGATGCATGCTGAACAATCCATTAAGGAAAATATATCGATCATTATTTCTTAGTTTCAAGAGCCATATTCATCATCGTATATTGAATCATGGCCAAAAGACTAGCAAATGTAGGAGGTGATGCGCGGAACATGAAGGATTCGGCTTTTTCTCCTCCAGTCAATAATGATAGGAATCCCCAAAAGCGGGTGCTAGCGCGCATCTTCATCGGCATACAGACTTATTACCTCTTGGCAAAAGCACCAGGACTACATGATCTGAATAACTCATGCAGGAGTACAATCTGGCTTACGCCTCATGGCAGGTCAAACGGCGCAGACCAAGGTCAATCACACTTGAGCAGACACCAAGAACGGTTTGGATGCAAAATCTGAGCTCAAAGCAACTATATTGTGGATTGCCGAAGTTAAATCCTTAAAAAGAGTGCAATGAATGTGCCATCCTTGTTTAAGTTTCAGGCATATGCTCCAAAATCTGAAGAAACTTAAAAATTCCCTGTTTCACCATGCTAAGCAACCGTGACATAATTTACAACTTTCAGGCATATGCTCTGAAATATGAACAAACTTAAAGAATTCCTTTTTTCACCAAGCTAAGCAAGCGCAGCATAATTTACAACTGACTAGCCTCGGTTAACCAGAGTACAAACTACAAAAGGACCAGAAGATGAGTAAGGCTCTGTAACAGGAAAAGAAAATTGTGGCATTCTCAAACAGGTTAAACCAGCAATCTTCCTGATCCTTAAGAACCAGATGGACCTTTTTTCTTTTTTAAAGAAAATGTAGTCAGCAAGCTCTGTGTCTTGTTATTTCTTAACGATCATGGTTACCTGCACATCAAACTTTCTTGAGCATGAAAAAACTACGACCATGACGCCACAGATAAGATACAAGCTACATAAGTTAGCGTTAGTGTGGGTTTAACAGAGAATAAGGAATTAACTCTTCATCTACTGGACTTCGGGTTGTCACTAACGCTATTAGAGGAACTATCTGGGAAAGCTTGAGACGAAGAAAACTTGCTTGATGAACTCCCATCAGCAATACTTATCTCCTTTCTCTGCATCTGCTTGCCCTTCTTTTCTCCGGTTGTTAAGTCCTGCATAAACTATACTGTTATGCATATTGGGCCAATTGACAGAGTAGATTAGCTCTGGCTCAGAATAATGAAAGAACAACCTGTTGTGATGATGTTCCGGGCATCTTAAGTTCAAGGTCTGTCGCCACGTCATTTGAATCTTCATGTTGTTCTGCATTGCTGCCCCTTCGATGATCTGACGACGTGCTTTTGGAGTCTTGTTTATTTGACACATGAGAACTGGAAGCATATTGGGTTGACTGCTGTTCAATTGTGGGATTGGCAGGCATTGAATATGGGATAAAGGTAGAACATGGAGCAGGAATAGCACTTGCATTCTGATTTCCAAAGAAAGGGAAAGGCTGAAGTTGTGGGTGCATGGGTATTGGACCTGGAGGGACGGGTATTGGAACTGGATATGAGTAGGCTGGACCCATGATGACGGATGGATCCATGGCAGCCCAAGGGTACATAACCCTCATCCTTTGCTGGTATTGGACATTGAGATTTTCAACTTCAGATTTTAAAGATGATTTCTCTTCTCTGAGCTCATTCTTCTCCTGCATCAGCTGGTTGTAATGCCAAGTTATTATTAGCATCAAGGCAAACAATGGACATTAAAACCTCAGGATACCGGATGAAGAGAAAATCACCTCTCGAGATTCTTCAGTAAGAGCTGCACATTCAGCTTTCAATCTGTTAACTTCCGTCGTTAAATCCTTCAGCACCTGGATTGTGTCCGTGAGAATGGTTGCCTTGTCATTCTTAGGTTTATCGGGATCTGTAGATCAAACAGGTAAGGCAAAGCAATTGTTCGTAAGTCTAGCATAAACAAATTGGAACTCTAATAACAGAGAAACAGGCCATGCTTGATGATATAATCCAGCGCATGGCATCTACTATAATGAGAAAAAGCAAGAAAGTCGAACAGTGTCCAATATCCAAGAGATTCTAAATAAATGGAATTAGGGATAAAAGTAGCATCAAATCATGCCTTTGTTTATGCTTAACAAAACAACAAAGTGAATTAGTCATCTTTGCGAATTGGTCGGTCTCAATACCCCACTGCTTACTTTTATCTCCAGTACCCTGTCTGTCAAATTCAGCTAAACGCAAGAAACTTGCAACTTTCAGCGGTTCTCTTGCACAGCAAACAGAGAGATAAGCTTCTGGCTCGATGCTTGTGAGGATATTCCACCACATCTCTCTTTGTAAGGGGTGCTGGTTGGTTATAACAGCCCAAGCTGCAATAAATTTGCCTAAGTAAACTCCCTATTTCTGATGGATCAGTGACCAAGAAGGGCCGACCTTAGAGAGAGAGAGATTTTGACCTTACTGAGTAACAAGTTTGGAATTGCAATGCCGATGGAAATTCAGAAGCACACAAGGATCGAATTCTCAAACAGACATGCGATTTTGGGGGAAAATAATAGCACGGTTCCAATTGATCTATTGGGATCACGATGTCATCATCCTGACTTCCCCAAAGTGTTTGCTAATAGATGAATCAAAGTATCGAGAAATTAAAAGTTTTAAGTACCCTCAAAGTGTTTCTCGAGGTACAATGAAAGTAACTCTAAATGTCGATATCAGTTCATTCTATCCACTCCTAACTGTAAACCTGTTGCATATTCACACATACAACACATTCACATGTAGTATGGGGCCAAACAAGCACTTCTCTAGACTATGGAAAATTTAGAATCGACCGTCACAAACGTTAGCAGAGCCATGCCTACCGGCAGTTGAGGCGTCGAAACAGTTATTTCACCGTTTCCCTACTAACTGCTTAAATGCCGCACATTACCGAACGGATAACAAACACGAAATGCAGCATCCTCATCTTTTTTTTTCCTGGAAAACTATTTCATCATCTAAGAGGCAATAAAAAACACTAAGCCCGCAACTTATCATGGTTGACAAAACAGGGACATGTCATGAGCTGCATTGTGCATACCTAGTGTACTCCCCAGGTCAAGGAAATGCTCATTCAGACGATCCCTCCTCAGCTTTTCGCGGTCGGCTTTCTGGACTTTCCTCGCAACCACGGGATCCTTGACTTCCGCTTCCTCCCTTTGCCTGCGACGGAACCCACACCAAAAAGACCGTGAAAAAACATACTTCCAGGCATTACCTCAAGCATTCGGGAAAATCCACGGCCATCCCACATAACAAGTTCCCAACTTTTCGCCAAAAAAAAAAAAAAAAAAGAAGAAGAAAAAGAAGAAGCGCAAGCAACCATGAGCCGGGGGAATCCATTACTAACAGCAGCCCATACCCTCAAATCAAACACAGCATCGAAACGACCGATCACGAGATAAAAAATGCTTTCTTTTTTTTTTATATTATATAATTAACTGCATCGCACGGGAGAAGACACGTTTCGCGCACAATCTCACTAGCTGGAAATTTATGCCGATCCGACGACACCGAAAAGGTCCGAAAGCGCGCGGGCTTGAGCGCGCGCTCGAGGAGCACAGGGAGAGAACCTGGTGGATTCGTCGTGCGAGCTGCGCAGCCTGCTGGACGGGTGCTGGACGGAAGTCGACGCTCCCAAATCCGTCCTCCACTGATCCATCTCGCTCTCCTCCTACTCCTCCTCCTCCTCCTTCTCCTCCTCCTTCGTCTCCTTCTTCGTCTTCTTCTTGTTGCTTCGCTGATCGAAACCTAGCTCTCGCGCTCGATTTGGCCGTGAAAATGGAGAGAGAGAGAGAGAGAGAGAGAGAGAGGTGGAAGCACCCTGCAACAACTTGTGCTCTCCACGAGCCACGAGGATTGGAACCCGAAAAAAAACAAAAAAAAATTCGGAATCGTTTCGATAAAATTTAAAAAAGGGGGCAGTTATCGGGTGCGGTGCGGGCGGAGGTTGGCGTGTCGGACGACGATATCGCGACCGTTGATTTTGTTGACGGCTTTGGCCCATAAGAAATGAGGGTGAGCTTGGTCCAGGTACGCGGTTCTCATATTAAAATCGGGAATCGCTCGTTAAGGACAGGTTCAAAAATTGGAATCGAGAACCGCCCCTTAATTTCATGGATCCCACTTGGAAATTGAATTCGGTCCGGTTCTAGGGTGGGTATGGAATCAGCCGCCAATCCCTACAAAATTGCATTCATCAATCAATATCACGGTGAAAGCTACTTTCTATGCGCGTACTTCTTTGGTTTCATCACGTAATTAATAAAAAAAAAAGTACCGATTATGTGCGAATACATTGAGATAAAGTTATTCTAAAAAAAAAAGCAAACGAGAAGCCATTCTCCGAAACATTTCATCATTTCATTTAAAAAGAGTTCTCGTTATCATATTCCAAAATAATCGGATTCTACGTAAGCATGCTACTTCTTGTGAAATCATATAAACAGATTTCACAATATAACTATAAAATGAAATTTTACTCATTAGTTTCAATAGATTGGAACAGGAAATCGGGCCGGTCCTCGTGGAAGCTATCAGTTCCGGGCGGTCCGGCCGATTCCCGATTCCTTTTGCGCACCTCTAATAAGAAAAACAAGAGTATTCGGAATGAGTGGGCGGGAATCTGTGGGAGCGCACGGGGGACTCGGTGCGATCGGTTGCAGAGAGCAGTTTTCTCGAGGGAGCAGTGGGGGTCGGTGTGGATACTCGAACGCATACATACATTAGGACATGGGACATTGGCTGCCACGCTCGCTTTTGTCGTTTTCAGTTCGAGCAGTCGCGTCCGGAATCCGGGAAGCGGATGCCGCCGAGATGCCCTCCGATTTCGCCGGAGGACGGCGAGGGGACGATGAGGATGGTGACGTACAACGTCAACGGCCTGAGGCAGCGGATCTCCCAGTTCGGTTCGCTCCTCCGGTTGCTCGATTCCTTCGACGCCGACGTCGTTTGCTTCCAGGTCATCTCGCCGCGTCCGATTCCGTGCTCGATTGATTGAGTTGCTTTCTTTCTTTCTTTCTTTCTTTCTTTTCTGTTTTTTGGCCTTCTGGGGCTGAACCCGCTTTGTTTGTGCTGGCTTTTTTGTGGGAATGGCGGTAATAGGAGACGAAACTGAGGAGACAGGAGCTTACGGCGGATGTGGTGATGGCCGAGGGGTACGAGTCCTTCTTCTCGTGTACGCGCACGTCGGATAAAGGCCGCACTGGGTATGCAGGTTGGGTGTTCGACAAAATGATTCTTTCGGGAAAATTTAGTATTTTGTTCCATTTTTGAGTTGGGGCTCACTTCCATGTTGATGAAAAACTGACGTTGAACGCTATAATTGCTTACCGGTGAAAAAGAGGTTCCAAGTGGAAATTGGTCTGTTATCTATGATATTTAGACATGGGATTCTACTGCATTGTATTTTTCTTTTTTTTTTACTTTCCCTTTTCTGAATTTTGGTTTTTTTTTTGAACTTATTCGGAGCTTGCGATGACTATGCTGCTTGAATTTGGCCTTGTGGCTTAATGACAATTCAGGGGTGGCAACGTTTTGCCGGGTGAAGTCCGCATTTTCAAGCAGTGAAGTGGCTTTGCCAGTTGCGGCGGAGGAAGGCTTCACGGGTCTCCTTGGAAACGGTAGAAAGGATGAAAATCATGCTAGTGTAGCAGGAGGCGTTGAGGAGTTTGCGAAGGATGATCTTCTTCAAGTTGATAGTGAGGGACGTTGTGTCATCACGGATCATGGCCACTTTAGTGGGTTTCTTTTCTAACTTCTTAGTCTTAAAGAGGAGACACAGTAGAATGCTCATGTTGATACTAAAGTACTGAACCTCAATGCTCTTATACTGTTGATAGGATTTTGGAAATCTAAAATCTAACATCTAGTGGCAGTTTGCATCATGTCTATTTGTCAACTCTATGAGACGTTAAAGTTAGTAATCATGCAGTTCTTTTCAATATATATGGGCCTCGGGCTGACTCTGATGATGCTGAAAGGACCGAGTTCAAGCTCAAGTTTTATAAGATATTACAGGTAAATTGATTACGTCTTCTGGAAACCGTAGAAGTTGGTTTTCTACACAATCTCAGAGGACCGATTATGAGAAAGACACATATATGGAAAAAATAAAATGTTCTGTTTTCTCCTTTTGTAGTAGGCTTTCTTACTTTTCTTTTTACACAGGTTTTCTTGGTACGGTGAGATGTCACATGTAAAAGTATTTGTTAGATCAACCTCTCTGTTTCTATAGTAGAGCAATTGTAAGGATATAATCAGATGAGATTCAAGAGTTTGAAACCTTAGAATTTATTGTTTAGGTGAGCTTCTTTTTGTAACGACACTTTTAGGATCAAAAGCTCTATTTTTGTCATCTATCTTCTATTGTATCTCTCAGTGGGTGGCTTCTTGCTAGTCCTGGAATTACAGCTTAATCACGTGAAGAATACATAGGGATCACAGCTTGCTTAATATGTTATTGGTAATGGCATTCAACTGGTTGTGAATTTGACTTTAATTTATACTTTAGCAATTGTTCTTCTACTACAATTACTGCATACGCAATGTGGTTTCAAGTTGTTTTCTGGAAAATTAATGGTTTAACATCCGCTTTCCTTCTTTGAATCTACAATCTGAGGTGAAGGCACTTTTTCATATCTATTGTATATATTATTCTTTCCGCTAACATGCTTGACTACTGTTCTAGAGAAGATGGGAGCATCTTTTGCAGCAGGGGAAAAGATTATTTGTTGTAGGCGATTTGAACATAGCGCCTGCTGCTATAGATCGGTGTGAGGCAGGTCCAGACTTTGAGAAGAATGAGTAAGTTTCTAACCTTTCGTTGGTTTTCTCCCTTATATGTCTAATGCTGGATGGATATGCTTTCATAACTCTTGCTTGCTCCGTGCGTATAGCTTTTGTAGTTGAGGCTAATGTGAAAGTCATTGAGTTCATTCACCTCGCAGGTTTAGAAAATGGCTAAGGTCTATGTTGGTAGAAAATGGAGGCCCTTTCTTTGACATTTTCAGAGCCAGACATCCTGATAGGTGTGACATTTCTGTAAGAGCTGGTTACTGGTCGTCATATAGCATATGACAATTTTCTTATTCTCATCTTCAAATCTGTAACATGTTTTTCTTTATTTTCCTTGTTCACCCATAGTCATCAAATCATGAATATGGTGGTTATTTTCGGTCACTTGCACCTTATTTCCAACATTATTTTCAATTCTCAGGAAAGATGCATATACATGCTGGCCTTCAAATACCGGTGCTGAACAATTTAATTTTGGATCAAGAATTGACCATATCCTCTGTGCTGGATCCTGCTTACATGAAGACTGTGATCCGCAAGGTCATAACCTCATAGCTTGCCACGTCAAGGATTGTGACATACTAACAAGATACAAACGGTGGAAACCGGGGAATACCCCAAGGTAAATGTCACGTTTGACTTTACTTGCACTCTGTAAGTACAAAGCAAGACACTATAGTAGCAACGCCTCAAACACTTAATTCTGTATGTTCTGAATGTATGGCTCTTCTTTTCCTTGGCTCTTTTTAGTTTTACTTCACGGAAGTCTGAGGAAATGGTGGCGTGCGCGCATGTAAAGTTCCCAGCATCCACCGTCTCACTGTCTCTCTTTTTAATTTGTAGGTGGAAAGGAGGATGGAGTACAAAACTGGAAGGTTCTGATCACGCTCCTGTCTATGTGTGTTTAGAGGGAATCGTTGACGTACCCCAGCATGACACTCCATCAATATCTGCTAGATATTTTCCTACAATTCGTGGCATCCAGCAAACAATTGGTAATGGAACTTTGCTTATCCAAAAGTCATATTTTGGAATGAAAGTACAAGGGTTTAATTCTCAGCTTGCATCTTTCTTCAGTCTAGAAATCTATGTCCATTAGAGTGAATGCAGTGTGTCTTCTGTCTTTTCCTTATCCTCAACCCCATTGCATGCAGTGCAAGAAAACAACATCATCAGCATCCCTGATGAAGAACTATTTAGAAAATGCTTGTAAGAACTGTGGATTATTTGTCTTAGAAAATCTGAGGACATTCTTCCTATGAAGAGCATGTCTGGACATAGGTAATCATCATGATTTGTATCACATGCTACATTTTCTTGCTTCTTAGAAAACACTGACAAGACGTTGCTATGTAATTGAGTATCCCAAATATATGACTATTTAGACAGAGCATCACGATGTTATCAGATAATTTAAGTTATATATAATTATTGTATGTGTATGTTCTTATTTTCTATGCCTTTGATTTCTCCCTTGTTCCCCGGAAAGTAAACTACAGTCATCTTAGGCTTCATTCGCTAGCCTAAAAAGGAGCCTGGATAGGATAACAAATTATCCTATCAGTGTTTGGTGTCCTCCTTGGGATGGGATAACCCCAAATATGTCCAGATAAAAGGCCTGATGAGAAGTAAGGGACTTGGGGTGGGACAGAGACACGGATTGGCCGAAGAAAATAGGAAAAAGGAAAAAAGGAACAAGACCTCTCGTTCCATATCCTACCAGTGGGCACCACAGAGCTCTCAACCACCCCCCTCCCAAACGACTGTCTCTTGCTCGCAGTCTCAAATCTTAGATCTCAGACCGCGTACGACCACCATGGCGGTCGTTGTCCTCAAGAGACCACCTCCGTGGGTGCCCACATCCTCCTGATGTTTCAATTGAGTCCATCTTTCTCTGATTTTCTGGTCACAATGGGCCACCGTGGCAGGCAGTGGCAGTCGATGTCGTAATTGGTGGCCACGGTGGCCACTGCAGCTTAGAATTAGGGTGTGTCTTTTTTTTTTTTTCTGCCTTTTTCATAATTTTACTTGATTTATTTTTTTTTTCAGTGCTGTCCTAAGTCGACCAAACACTTGATAGGATTATAACAGTCCATATCTGTAATCCGGGTATTTCTTATTCCACCTTATTCTATCCTATCCCAATTCTTGTTCTGATGACCAAACACAACTTTATTGTAATTTTGTGGTGCAGTTTTGTCTTTCCCCTTCTGTTAGTTCCAAATTCCTGTTACTAAGTTTAATGAGCGCTTAATCTGTGCAGTGTCAGTGCTAATGAAGAGACAAGTTTCCGAGCAAGTGGAAGTATGCGAAATGTCAACTTCATGTTTAGAGGAAGATGTCACAATAAGGAGTTGTAGTAGGGGATCGAAAAGATCCTCTGGCGACTGTGAGCCATCTGGGTCACTCTCCGGCGAATCTTGTGCTTCCTCAAACCGAAATTATGGTTCTGTAAACTTGGAAGCACACGAACAGTCTCGGAATTCCGCTGCTGTTGGTGTTTCTGACACTGCAGATGGTAACCAATATAGTGAAGTTAAGAAAAAAGCTAAGAAAGGCCGAGGGTCTCAACTATCATTGCGGTCTTTCTTCCAGAGAAACTTAGACAGTTGCAACAAAGATGAGAAGTCTAGTGGAAATTTTTCACTCAATGCGGTGCATACACAAAAGTCTGACAATCAGACTAATTGTAACTTTGCAAAGGATGAGGATGGCAGAAGCCTCCAGCAGAATGATTTGAACACAAGTGCTTCTCCTCTTGATCAATCATCTCTGGGGAAAGGAAAAAATGATGTGGCTTTACTGGAGTGGCAAAGAATACAGCAGGTGATGCAGAATAGCATCCCTCTTTGCAAGGGCCATCGTGAACCCTGTGTCTCTCGTGTTGTAAAGAAGGCAGGTCCTAATTTTGGTCGCAGATTTTACACGTGCCCTCGTGCTGAGGTACCTCATCTTTTTTTGGGTGGAACTGTAGAGTTCTTTATTGTTAAATATCTGGCAAAAACCTACAGAATATGGAATAGGTAGTTATCTAATGTAAGAGGTTCATCAGTAAACAAAGGAAGCAGCAGAAAAAATGAATGACCAATTATTTTAAGCTCTTGACTAGTCTCAAGTAACTTCTAATGAGCGAATGATGATGCACGCAATGTTACCACAATTTGTTCCTGACTAAAAACTCTTTTCCAGTAAAAATCCTTCACCAATTTCTCCCCTTTCAATAGTAATGGTTTGTTTCACTATGCACATATTCGAGATAGATTGAACTTGAGAATGCTCCTAGTTATAGTGATGCAGGGACGAATCTGCATAATTGTGATGTAAAGGCATCTCTCATTTTTCATTTACCTCTTCCAGGGGCCTGCCTCCAATCCTGAAGCAAATTGCGGTTTCTTCAAATGGGCTTCGTCAAAAGCTAAGCAGTAAATAGCGAGGATGATGCTGACTGACCACCGTTTGACTGTCAAAACTTTTGACTGCTTTGTATCTAGCTGTAGTTTGCCCGGCTGCTGTTGTAATTCTTTTCAATTATGCACCCAGGTTCCGCATTTAGAAATTTGAACCGAGGGTGCGGGATTGAATAGGCGGCATTATGCTGAGCTTAACTGTTGTGTATACAGACGAAATGATGCTATTTGGAAATTGTATGTGAAGTGCAATCCATGTGACATGCTTTTTAACGGCAATGTTCCTGCTGTGCATAGTGGAAAACTTGCTTTCTGTATGCCTGCCCCGTGTACGTTAACACCTATACCATGTCAGCCTCGTCATGAGCCAACGAATTCCGAGTGAATCGCTGTGTTTTAATGTTTCTTGATCTGTGACAGTGCCAATAAGGTACAGTGACACTTTGTTACTTGAGAATACTTCATCCTGGTATTGTGGCAGCTTGCTTTCACACGCGTTTTTCTCTTTCTCTCTCTCGGTGCTGATTATCTTTCTAAGGCCCAGTCTTTGGGCACACCAAACGGTAGAGTTCGGGGTAGGCGTGGCTTTGTCAATTTGGAGGCTGGACAGCTTAAGGAAGGCCAAGCTCGAGGCCCATTGTAGTCCAATCTGGCTTGTGTGTATAGTTTGTTTATATTTGTTTTATGGGATAAGTTCCCGAATTTTAGCTCAATATTCAATGTTGTCCCTAAATTTTAACTTGTTCAATATGGTCTCTGAACTTTATCTCAATTTGCTTTCCTGAACTTTTAATTTATTCAATGTGATCCCTAAACTCTTTGTGTATGTTCAATCTAGTCCCTGGACTATATGAAAAGGTTCAATATTGTTCCTGAAGTTGGATTAATGGAAAGATAATATTGAACATTTTCCATATAGTTTTGGGACTAAATTGAACGGGTACTGAAAGTTCAGGGACTGCATTTAACAAAATAAAAGTTCATAGATGGTATTGCATATCGAGCCAAAGTTCAAAAATCACGTTATGCAAGTTAAAAAGTTTATAAATGACATTGCACATCAATCACCAGGGCGAGCCACGTCTCGCACAACGACTTGGTTCTAAACTTGAGTACTCTTTTGGATATGGCTTGTCTTCTTTCGGGCTTTGTTAGGTTTAAGCACGGATTGGCTGTTTCTCCCGGGATTGCCTCTGTTTGCTTGTTCTTGTCTTGTGGAAAAAAGGAAAGGTGGAAGATAAGGGGAAGAAAAACTCTCAACCCTCGACATCCTCTCATGAAAACCGCCGTCAAAGGAGGTATTCGTTCCTCAAGAGTCTTGAGTCAAGACCGATGGCGAGGAAATTCATCTTTTAAGTAAGTGAAACTTGTGCCCATAAAGTACCACACAAATATTGCAGATTAGGTACGATATGAGCTTAAAGTCAATATGCGTGGCCTCAATATGGAATTTTCCCATCAATCCATATTCTCTAGGGAAAAAATCTAAGGTCTAGCATGGTATTTTACGGGACTAGTCAAGTATAGATTCGGGGCTGTTGGATTTGAAGCCAAAAAGTCTCGTCCGTCGGATAAAATTTGATGAGGTGTCACTTGTCACCTGTTTAGACCTGGTAGCTTAAATTATACGACCGTAGGATTGTAAATTTTACGACCGATTAAGGAAAATCACAGCTACGATTACTTAAAAAACAGGTCTTACTAATTCACGAACTTGAAAGGGTTGTTAGTTAAAGTAACTTTATTGAGAATTGAGGTTGCTTACTATATATTAACGGAAGTTACGACGGTTAGGACCTTCCAACTTACGTCAACTTGAGGTGTTTTATTATCAGTAAAGCGAGATTACTGAGTATCATTTACGTAGATTTAGAGTTAATTTACGAATATTCTGTTTAGTTATTATTTATGTGTTGTATGTCTTACAATCATTTGAGGTAAGTTACTCTGGTTGATTACTAAGTGATAGCATTCTCATATAACGAACTTCGTAGCTAACATTACTATGCAAAAAGAGTTCTAGCATTCTCATATCGTGGGGCGAGCTCGTGATGTGACTGTCCCGGCCTCCGGCGTTGGCCGCAACTGCAGAGGCCGCAACCGATGCCGAGGTCAAGGCCTAGTCTCTGGCAATCCCAGATCTAGGGTCCCCTGAGGCCGGTAACCTCGAATCAGAGGTTGTGCGCCGGTTCTTGACGGTGGAAGCTCGCACGTCATTCTCTCTTCCGAATCCTTATCCTATTCGGGTATATTCCACCTACTATGTGGGATTTTTTTTATCCGGGTTATATTTAGATTTTGTGTTACCCCGAGCACTAAATATGATATAAGTTATTTTATTTGAAGTTATATCCGGTCCACCAAAAAGGTAGCCTAAATAAAAGTTTGGAAACTGTTCAAACCGAAGAAAGTGGGCTACACTTTATCAGCTCATAGTGACTCTTAGGAGCATTCCAAATGATAAATAGAAATGATGCTTTCGTCTTGGTCAAAGGTCACGCACCTTATCTTACACAAAAAAATAAGGAACAACAGCGTAAAAACGTCGACCCATTAATTAAATCGTATGGACTAAACCGATGCTATTTGCTGCAAAATCAAAGAGATATTGGAAAAAAATTACAAGTTCTATGATCGTTGAGAAAAGGAAGGGTAGTCATTTGATTACCAAGGCGCGACTTAGATGGTAAATTCTGGCGGGCGGATTAGTTACAGTTTAATGAAAGGTCGACGTCGGATCTGCTCATCTTAGTACCAAGGATCATTTTCATCACGGACGAATGTAAACGCCAAATGGTTTTGTAATGTGCTTGCACAAGTTACGGCCACTAGAAAAATTCCGAGCTAGTTAATTCGTCCGTGTCGTGTGACATCGGCCGATGACCGATACAGGGTCGGTCGCGACTCGTGAGCTCTCTCGTGCCGTGAGAAAATGGTGTCACCTCTGACCTGTTAAACTGATGACTTACCGGCGTGTAAGGACCGGTACTGACCGTAGGATAGTGAAACTTATAGTTGATTTCGAAAAAATGACGACAACCAAGGATAATTACTTGAAAATAGGCTTGATTAATGAATGGGTCGGCGATTTTACGCTGCTGTTCTTTTAAAACTAATTCACGGGTCATTTTAGTTTTCAATGAGACGTGTTATGTCAATTATCTATAGCTTCAAAAGTAAGTAATTAATAATCATGTCGCAAGATATTTATATTATAAATTGAAGAACGAAAACATGCGAAACTTTACTTTTTTTTTTATTGAAATAAAGATTTCATTCATCGGAATAATATCCGAGAGGTACATAGAAGGCATACAAGTCCAGAAAATCTCAAACAACTGTGGAACAAAGCAAACACTAGAACGCAAATAACAAAGCACAAAGCACAGTCTGCAGCTAAAAGCACATTCTCATCTTTCAAGAATAGGTTTGCCACCGTAAATGTTCAGCGGCCAATCATTAGATTCATTGATGAGCACACACCGAGATTCCCCACTCCATTTGCAACGGCTTGCAGTACGCGAGTAGGTTTAACGTACTCATCACCATCGCCGTGCGGAGACACCAACATCAATATGTTGAAAGAATGAAGATCAAATACCTGTAAGGAACTCCTAGATCTAAACATAAATCTAAATCGGGAGAGTAAAACCCCTAGATCTAGACCTAAATCTAAATCGGGAGAGAAGAGCGGCCTAATCTCAGAGAAGTTATGGAGCCACGTCACGAATATCTTCCTCGATGGCTGCCCACATTCATCCAAAATTAGCTGTAGAAATTTATTGGCACACACAATCTCCCAAAATAGATCGGGAGAGAAAAGAAAAGACAATCAAAGCATAGTAAAGGAAAATCAAAGGCGAAGTCGGCTCTTAACTTCAGAAATTGAAGTTGAGAGCCTACAGGAGAGCTTCAAAAGAGAGAAGAGTTTTTGAGAGATGAAGGGATTTGCCTTGGGAGATATGTTTGCTTGGCCTTGCGAAACTTTATTTTAAAAGCGAATTTCATATTTAACTCAAACGTTATGGGTGTGCCATAACGTTTGAAAATTCCAAATCTGATATGCAGATACATACAAACATGTATGTGTGTGTTGTTGTAAATCACATTTCTTAATGAATTGGAATTTTCTCTAACGAACATTGTGCATTTGAGAAAATTGTCCAAAAAATCTTAAGCCTATTGTACGGCGATTAATTTAGTCAAACATTTTCATTTGTGCCAATTTAGCATTAAACCTTTTAACGAATTACCAATATAGGCATTCCAACTAATTTTGACAGAAAATCGTTGGTGTGGCAGTCCGATCAGTGCCGTGCGTCCTACGTGGCGTGATCATTTACGTGGCGTGGCTAGCATTGACGTGGATAATTTTTTTAATTTCTTGGAATTTTTTGTTGATTTATTTTATTTTATTTTATTTTGGTTCAAATTGCCGGTGGCTGCCAAGGGCCGGCAACCTCAGTCAACCACTGATTGTCATCGGCCCCTTGGGCAAGGGTCGTGAAGCCCTCGCCGGTCGCGGGCAAGGGTCATAGCCCTCGCTGAATTTGACAAGGGCTCTCGAGCCCTCGCTGTGCCCGGTAAGGGCATTGCAAGCCCTCTTGGGCCACGGCGAGGGCTTTGCTGCCCTTGCCCGCCCTCGCTATGGCCAGTGAGGGCCTGGACGAGGGCCACGATGCCCTCACCTTGCTAGATTTGATGAAAGTGTCGCGAGCCCCTCGTTGTGGCTTCACAGCCCTCGGTCAGTGAATGGCGGAGGTTGCCAGCCCTCAGCGCAACGGTCCTTTAAACCAAAAAAAAAATTAATAAATTGTATATTTCACCTGATAAAAAGAAATTGATTACGTGGCGCCTAAGGGTTAGCAATCGCTGAGGAGAATGGAGTACGGCCATTTCATGTGATGAAAAGGCGGCATTTCAAGCTATTTAGAATTCTAGGTGTCGAGCTCAAAGTCAGCCATTAGGAGAGAGCTTTTTGTTGCATGTTTATACATATAGCATGAAAATTCTTGTTGTTACGAAATATGTGAGTCGAGCGCACCGTACATTTTTATTTTGAGGAGCCCCGTATCAGATCCATGTGATTTAAAAATCGAGGTGCACCGAATTCCCATAAATCCGATGCACTTGATAATAGGCCCGCTAAACCATTGTCTCTTCAAATGTGTAGAGTTCGAGATGTTTTCGTGTTGATAATAATTTGTTAAAACAAAGGAAAGTAGATTGCACTTTAATAACGAATGAAAATGATATAATCTCTAGATATGGGTCAAGTGTGGCATGGGTCACTAGATTTGTTTACCAGGATTTGTTTGGTGATTTCCCCGAGCCGAGTGCATTGTACATTTTAATATTAACAAATCCCGTGTGAGATCCACATAATCTAACGGTCGAGATGCACCAAACTCCCACAAATCCGGTGCCCTTGATTATAAGTCCGGAAAACCATTGTCTCCTGAAAAATGTGTAGAATTCGAGAAGCTTTCGCTTCGATAATAATTTGTTCAAACAAAGGAAGGTGGACTACCCTTTATTTGCTCATGGTGACGCTTTGGAGCATTCCCAATAAGTAATAACAAAATGAAAATGATGCTTTCATCTTGGTGACAGGTCGTGCACCTTACCTTATACATAAAAATAAGGAACAGCAGCGTTAAAACTTAAAACGCCGACCCATTAATTAAATCATGTAGACTAAACCGATGCTATTTGTTGCAAAATCAAGGAGAGATTAGAAAAAAAAAAGTACAAAATTAAATGATCATTGAACAAAGGACGGGTGGTGATTTGTTTACCAAGGCACGAGTTGGCCGGTGAAATTTGTCGGGCGGATTAAGCATAGTTTAATGTTAGGTCCACGTCGGATCTGCTTATTTTAGTACATATATCATACTCATCGTGGATGAAGAAGTTATGGCCACTAGGATTATTTCCGAACTAGTTAATTCGCCCGTGTCATGCGACATCGGCCCGACCTGATACGGGGTTGGTTGAGACTTGTGAGCTCTCTTGTGCCGTGAGAAAAGTATCAAAAAAAAATTGTTGTATTCGACGGCAATCTAGAAGAGGGCCGATCTAATTTGATCTGTGTATATTTTTAACTCTAATTGAATCCTTTTGATTTCTTGGACAAGATTCGAATGAAGCGCCGGTCTTATGACTCATTTCTTAGTTCATCAATGCCTGCGGTATCATTAGAAATTTATGAAGAATTGGAGTGAAATTTGCCGGCATCAATTGCCTTTGAAAAATAAGAATCGTTCTTGGTCAAAATCGAAAAACGTCCAGAGATTATATCATTGTCTTTGAATTGTTGTAAGGGTTTGAAAAAAAGTGAAGAAAGTACAAAAAATTTGGAGAAAGATTTTAGGGCAAGGCATATCTAGTACATTGTCTTAAAAGCAAAATCCCTACTAGATACTTAGTGGGATGCCGTGAAAATGAGAAAATTTTCCAAAAATCCTAAATATAATGTACAATGGCCAATTCAATTCTTTCGTGTTGCCAATTTAATCTTAAGTTTTTTTGACAATTTATCAATTTAGTTTTTCTTACCAATTTTAGCTAAAAATCGTTGAAGTGGTGGTCAGTCAGGGCCAAAATCGCTTTAATAACACGGCTAGTGTTGACATAGACGATTTTTATAAGTTTTTTCTTAATTTCCTGGATTTTTTTTCTTTTTTGTTCTTTTTCTTTTCTTTTTTTATTGTTTTTCCTACAAAAAAATGGGGGATACATTTGCCCACGGCTAACTGGTCGCTGGCCTTCACCGAGGCTCCAGTGTCCCTCGCCAACCCTTCCAATAAGATGAAATAGTGAAAAAAAATTATAAAAAATTATAAAAATTTAGCAAATTTTGAGGAAAATTGCAAAAATTGTCCACATTAGCGCCGGTCATGCTACGTAGGAAAGTCGGCATCCACGTCATAAATTTCTGGCCAAAGTTGGTCGGAATGACTACATTGGCAAATTAGGTTTGGGACTAAATTGGCCAAATTGAAAAGTTTATGATTGAATTGGCTGCCGTACAATAGATTTAAGACTTTTTGGACAACTATCCTTTATGAGAACCTTTTTCCCAACATACAATGTCGAGACTCTAATCTCCCGCTCTTGACCTACGTATCGAGAAAGAAAAACTGGATCGGACTTACATAATTGCCAATAAATTTCTTTATTTTTCTCTAAACCCTCTTAACAAATAAAACTAAATTCGAAAGAAAAGAAAAGGGTCCCAATATATTCTCTATTTCGGTTTAAAAACTCGTAAGGCAAAAGACTACCCACGATACCTACTTTTTTTATTTTATTCGGGGGTCGAATACCCACAATACCTACTAAAAATGCAAACTTTAGCCACTTGTCCTCGAATGCAAATGATTGGTTTCATAACATACAACTCTGTACCTTACCCTAATGTGGCTCATAATGATTTCTATCAATGAAATGGGCATCTGTCATCTCATATCATTGATATATATATACACACACATGTACAAACACGATTCCGGGCCGGCATGGAAGTAGAAAAATACGAAGGATCATATACGGGTCAATACGAAGGTTCAGAGCTGACTTTTGGCAAGTCGTCTGTCGTGCCTGCCGTCTTTTCTGCTTCGCAACAACAAAAGGGTATCCCTAGAATGGATGAACTCTGTGTCCGATTGCTGCATATTCTATTTGTGTGGATAGAGACGGCCATGTGGCTTGTAACCACTGCGTACGTGGAGTTAGGGTTTTGTTTATGAGTTTGTATTCCTTCTGTTTTTTGTATGATTGGAGTCGGATATCCTAAAAGCCCGAGTCCTGAACTTCGGGCGACCCGAATCCATGCCAAGGTCGGATTGGGTTGGGTCTTGTTCTTGATATTTGGAAGAGTTGTGAGCGTCACCATCTTCCATGGTTGGTCGTAACGAGATTAATTTTGCGAGAATGATTTGCATGAAGTTATGGTGGTTGATTTGATGGTGTTGGGGGAAGAACATGGACTCCCCCACCTCGAATCCGACTTTTAGATGTGATTGAAGTTTTCATATTCAGTGTTTGGAGACTTGCGTCGAGCCACATAAGAGTTTGAAAGCGCTTGAAAATGCATTTCGAAGAGGGAATTCGAAATGCTAGAAACCTCGGAACGTATTAGGAAATGTAAACAGGCATCGAAATTGAGTGAAGAGAAGAGAATTCAAGTGATCGGCAATTAATGTGCCGGGAACGTAAATCATAAGGAAATAGACTTCATTGGAATTAAATATAGGGAAAAGGGAATTGAAAGGCAATTTTTAGAAATTGAAAAGTGTTTACAGACGATCCAACGAAATCTCTGGAAGACGCACGAAAATAATATTGGAAAAAAAAGAAGCTTAAATGCCACAAGAGATGTAAAAGGACACACTTGTGTGATGTTCATGTCTTATTCAGCATTTTATCCAGGTATATCGGTATTTATACACTGAATAGGGACTATCAAACGCAACCTTATGGATTCGTACGAGGAAAACTCCCTCTGATCATATCTCCGATTGGCGAGCTACAAATAACGAACTTCATCTCTATGCGAAATATATTAAGATTAAATATGTGTAATGTTCAATGCCTGTAATATCTCAATCAGAAGCACGGTTGGAAGAATTTCCTTTGCCCCTTTCTATTATGCCGTGATAAACCTCATAAGAATTTTATTTTCATTTTTGTCTTATTATTATTATTATTATTATTATTTTTCGCAAACCCTCCCCAAAAAGTCTCCCACCTACTCCTCTTTATTTAAACCCCAAACCTCCCCCGTCTCTGTCCGTCGTTCCCGCACTGTTCTACCCAGACCGCACCGCCCACCACCACCATGCTCTCTCTCTCCTCTCCGCTTCCCGTCCCTCCGTTTGTCGCCACCGCTCGCGTCAGAGCCCGGCGGCCGTCCGCCGTCTCTGCCGTGACCTTCACATCCTTCGCCACCAAGAAATCGCAGCAGCACCGCCAGCAGTACCAGCACCAAAACCCTCCGTGGCTCCACCGGTCGCCGCCGTGCGCAACGCCTTACGAGATCCTCGGGATCCCTGCCGGCGCCACGAGCAAGGAGATCAAGGCCGCGTACCGGCGCCTCGCCAGGGTCCTGCACCCCGATGCAGCGGCACCGGCGGCGGCCGAGTTGGGAGCGAAGGACTCCTCGGCCGACGACCGGTTCATCAGGCTCCACGACGCGTACTCGACGCTGCTGGACCCCGAGAAGCGAGCGGTCTATGACCGGAGGATCATGCTGGCCTGGAAGAGGAAGAGGCCGGCCGCGACGGCCGTCGCCGCCGGCGTCTCCGCGTACGGCGGTCGGAACTGGGAGACGGATCAGTGTTGGTAGTAGCCAGCGAGTTTTCGCGACTCCGCCGGATCGACCGATTCAGCTTCCTAAGTTAGAAGAGACCGAGGAGGATCGATAGTGTAAAGACGATAGGTTGGTTGAGAACTTGAGAGAGAGAGAGAGAGAGAGAGAGAGAGAGAGAGAGAGAGAGAGAGAGAGAGAGAGAGAGAGAGAAGCTTCCCCGTGAACTAGCACCGGCGCCGATGACCATAGATTTCAGCTTGATGATGAAGTGTTGCCGTGACCTGATCGTCGTTGACTGATTGACAAAAACGACACAGTTTGTGAGCACTGGTTTGGAGCTCAGGCCTTTCGTTTTGTAAATATTAACGTAAATTGAAGTCCTCATATTCTGGAAACCTGTCTTGGATTTCTCATGTCCGAGAGTGTTGTACTTTTCTTGGTTAAAGTGAGAATTTCTGGCCTAGCGTTTGTACTTTGTAATAAGTTATGAAAGTGCTGGGAGATCTTTGTTAACTTCTAAGCATATGCAAAATCTTAATCTTCTTTCCTTTTTGGCTTCAGTCTCTTGAAATTCAACGATGAACTCTCATGCTCAATGCTCTACATCACAAAATCACAATTGACTGTAAAGCTCATTTATTATTGGAAAAAAACTTTACAATCTTTATTTGGCTTAAAATTACGCTAGGTATACTAAGACGGGCAAAAGGGGGGGACTTCTATGCCGATCGTGTCGCCCTCGCTTATTAGATTGTCGGTCGCGCATTGTTTTGTCGACTTAACATCCATAGGAAACGAAGCTCTCGATGGCTCCCTAGCATCCTCCAAGTCCTGCTTCTCTTTCTCTCTCGCTCTATCTAGCATGACTACCAATTGCTGTTACGTCATGTCCCAGCCCGTGGCGAAGCTACAGCGATGATGCACACTACAACAACACACTACTACTGCTACTCTCTCTCTTTGAATTCGGAAATAGAAAACCATCGGAGGGCAACAACATTATAGGCGACGCAGCGATAACCTCCATCAACGGCCTCGAATATGGCGGCTTTGGCCGGCAAGGCTAGTGTAACGATAGAGAAGTCGTTGAAGAAGGGAGGGAGGAGGCAGAGCGTTAGTGGCATTTTTAGAAAAAATAATGAGTTAACAGTTAGCACAAAAGGTGTGTTGGGTCGGTGTAGGAAAGGATAAAACATTTTATGTGATGGATACACTACGTGACAGTGATGATATGGTGTGACCGATCAATCATCGTTGGCCGCATGCCATGAATGTCGTCCTAGCTGGCACAACAAGTGTATGCATCTCACTTTGACCGGTCTGCCACATCACCTGCTATTACCCTGTCGTGTATCCGTACCCTTTTGTAAGAAACGGATCAATATTACAAATACTTACCGAACGTATATGATCGACTCGATCCGATACAACTTATAATCTGTCAAATCACCCTAGACAAGTCTTTAGATGCCTAGCATTACTCAACCGACTTGTTCACTTTGATCAAAGATCCATGCAGCAAGTCGACCCTCAGAGTGATCATCACAGAAATTGTCGACGGATTGTCATATCATAAGCGCGCTACAAGATCGTGATGGGTGTGGAGGAACGAGAACGAAAATGGACAGCGATTTCGACTCCCATTTCTTGTTCATTCCCTTCCTGGCATTACATTTTGTTTGATACGATTCAGTATCTTCTAAAAAAAAGGATCGATTCTACAATAATAACTGCACTTCCTCAACTAAAGTATGATCATTTTCTTGGTGCTACCAAATTTTTTACCAGCGCCCGCTTGATCGTGTTGGGTGGGGGCTGGTTTAGGGCGCAACCGCGGTCGCAATTCGATCCCCAAAGAAAGAGGGAGGGAAAAAATACGAGGTAAAATTAGGTTGAAAGAACTTCAAAAAAATATTTTCTTAAAACTCTATACCCTAAATTATAAAATTCCAAGATGTCAACCGAAGCCGCCCGGAGTTTTTGTTTTGTTTTTTTGGTTCGAAATGCATAATGGCGACGCCCTAATTCCCTAACACCGAGAATCTAGGGCATTATTTATGGACAACCGATCACATGGTACGTGGAATCTTGGTATGGTATGGCCTTTGTCATCTTCTCATCGATCGATTTTATGGAATATTGGAACATATATTCCCCCCAACCTCTCAACTGTTCAGACATTGACTTCTTAATCGCCAACGGAGGAATCGTTGAGGTGCCGTTTCATGATAGGTTCGAGGGACTATCGATTGGGCATGCGCTCATGGAAGACATTCTAGTCTCTCTGTTAAGGTCTAACGAGTTGTATGCACTTGATTGCTCAATCACTTACCCCCAAATGATTTCTTTGTGGACTAAATCATTCACGATTTTCTATAGAGATAAGTGCATTGAAAGTACTCAAATTTGTCATGAAAGTGTAATCGAGTCCTAAAACTATCAAAAAGTGTAATTAAGCTCTAAAACTTGTCAAACTAGTCATATCAAGTCTTTCCGTTGATTGCACTTTTTAAAAGTTTTAGGACTCGATTGCACTTTTTGAAAGTGTTAAGACTCAATTGCACTTTCGTGATAAATTTTAGGACTTTTGGTGCACTTATTCATTTTCTATATATAATAAAATGAGTATCGATCCAAACCTTATGCCTCGACTAATCGCCATTTATACACACAAACCGTCTCGTTCACGTGAGACTCCATTCACAGAGTGGCGGCCATGGCCATCTGAAGTTAATATAAGTGGGTGACGCCGTGATTTGAACATAGGATTTGCTAGATTCAAGTCAAGTGCTTAACCACTCAATCAGCTCTCTTAAGGGTAATCATTTATCTTTCCATTCTATCGTCCTGGTGTTTAATTTGATTGCCGAATATCGGTCTAGGTTCAATCAAGTTGTAGAAGCTCTTTGTGAAAAATAGATCGTTATAGGGAGCAACTGTGTCCACATCAATCTGGATTTTAATATCGTCTTAATTACACCCTTGCACTACGGAAATGACATCAGGTACCACCTACTCAGTAGTTTTTTTTGCAATTCTTTATCCGTGATTTGATCGACTTATTTGTTCATCTTCGTCGAACCCAAATGAATGCACATGCGTTACTCTAATCAACTTGATGCTGATATTTATTCGTATGACTCTTTCCTGGTGTTGTCGCTCCGACGGGACATGCGATGCAACCCATAGAGAGAGGCCAAATTTAGATCGGAAAACACTTAAAAAGATTGATCGGGTGATAAAAGACGATGATCGGAACATTGTGCCTCAAGGAGTGTAACTGTGGAGAACCACAAAGTGTGATGCTACAATTGTATATGGTAATACGATAAAGTTTTTCAGCACATCATCACACCCTCCAAGAGAGTGCAAGTTCACGTGCACCATTCGCGCAACTGTTGTCCGCTATAAGACACCCGCGATATGCTCATTAAGAACATACTTAATTCGGAATACTGCGCATTTTCAAGTACACACAACTTGAGAATAAGTATTCACAATTGCAAAGTTCTCTAGATACGCTGATTGCGCATGGTACGAATACAACTAACTCGTCGTATTGTTTTTTAGCTAATCGTTTGGTTAGTGCAGGCACGACACTGTATCAATGAAACCCATAAAATAATGTAAGTTAGTACATATAAACATATGCATGAGCTTAGAACTGCACCAGATAACAGGCTACAAGATATTATCTATTTATGGGCCTTGCATGTGCATCTGCCTAACCTAACCCTAAAATAAAGATAAAATAAGATAAACATGGATGACAATGCTCGTACATATCACTGAAAAATGGATAAAATTGAAAAGAAGCCCGTTCGATGGAACGAAGAGACGGGGGGCGAAACGCATAGAAATGAGCGAATTCCGGGACGTGATTGCAAGAATGTTCACGCTTGCGTGCGATTATTTAGAAAAGACAAAAAAGTCAAAACCCAGTCGGCAGCCGGATGCCTGGCCTTTCTCACGAGTCATGACAAGACTCTACACCCTCATCCTAATCTAATCTCTATAGCTAATGCAACTTACTCTCTTGCCCTGTGGAACTCGTGAAGGGTTCGAACCTGTCAAATGACTCGATAAATAGGGGTTGCTCGATGTTTATCTTAGTAAGAATTACTAAAACCCCTTTAAATAATCATGGACCATTATAGCATGCACCGCGACCTATCAAACGAGTGAGTCGGGTCGAAAATCTTCCGTTCCTAATTGACCCATTTAACATGTTCTGACTCATTTCCATGCAATACAAATATAATGACTCATATTAGACCCGACAGATATCCAATCCATACCTGACCCGACTCATATTACTAAAATACTTTTATTATTTAACCCAATTTAAAAAAAAAACTCATATCAAACTATGGTGAAAGTACAGAGTGAGCGAACATGAGATTAAGTGAGGTGAGAAAGAGTGAAGATAGAGTCATAGAGGTGGGTTGGGACAAGTAAGTTGTGAATTCATTTAACACATATACTGAACCTATTGACATAATATAACTAATCTATATAACAATGTAGCCCATCAAATATGAGTTAAGAAACGGGTTTATGATCCATTTTAACAGATCTAACCCAAGAGCAAAACGAAATAAAATTATATTACCTAATTTTAATTTAAGGGAGCCGACTCGATTCTTCGTCATAAGTTTAAAGATAGAGGTCGTTTGCAAACTCTCAATTATGTATTGCGAAAAGGATTATCGTGAGAAGCATGACCATTAACTATGTCGTGGTCATACTATGTTAAGATTGAAATATTCAATTGTTGGGAAAAAAAGATATTACTAACTAGCCTCGAGTCTAAACCTTCGAAGGTGATTCCCTACCGATTCAAGATTGGAGGGTCACGAAAGCTCTCGAGAAGAGAGATACCGACATCACATTTACTGGCCGGATATAGCGTAAAAAATCCAACATGAGCAAACTTTTCTTTTTCCGATCTGACCCACATCAAGCCGTGTCGGTTTCAAATGAATTGCAACTGCATCATGTCAAGATGCTGGTATCTTTAAGTTTCGTATCGAAATTTCGTTCTTTCATATAAAAAATAATAATCGGCGCGGATGATACTATCCAATAATGTAGACGCATCTCCCACGAAGCCTGTGATGACCACAACTTGTTACATATTTTAAATGATTAGGGCAAGTGGATAGGCAA